GGGGGGGGGGGGGGGGGGGGGGGGCGGCGACCCTCGACCCGGGCTCCCGGGGAGGCGGACGCGCGGGCGCGGGCAGCGGCCTCCCCGGGGCGCCCCAGGTGCCCCCGCCCGCGCTCCCCCCACCCCCGCCCGCGTCGCACTCACCTCGCGCGCCGACCCGCTCGCTCCGCCCGCCCCGCGCGCCGGCCGCTCCTGGTGGAACGTGGCCGGCGACAGCGGTGACACAGCCCGCGCGGCAGGGACGGGGGGCGGCGTGGAGGGGCCGGCAGTGCAGGCGCAGGTGCGCGGCCGAATGAGGGGCTCCTGGCCCCGCCCCCGCCCCCGTCGCCCGCGGGCTGCTGCGGGGGTGCGGCAGAGGCGGCCAGGTCTCCCGGGGTCCCCGCAGCGGCGGGACGGGGCGTCAGCGGCCGAGGTGGCGGGAGAGCTGCCGTCGGCGGTCCTCCGTCAGGGCAGGGCCGGCCCCTGACAGCCGCCCTCCTGAGCCAAGGCCTGGAGGCCGAGCCCCGGGGCCGGGGGCGCCCAGAGCCAGCCTGGGGAGGGCGGCAGCGCAGAGCCGGCAGCAGGCAGCGGAGCAAACCTCCCTGCGCCGCCAGCTGTCCCTGGCCAAGCCTCGCCTCCGGAGCGTGTCTTCTCCCAGCGGGACGCTGAAGGCATCTGCGCCCGGGGACCCCTGCCCTGCCCACCGGTGGCTCAGGGAAGGATGGGCACCACGGGCTTGCCCCCCCCTTCTGTGAACACCACCCCTGCCCACGCTGACAGGTGCCCGGGCCCTGCCTCTTCGTTTGCAGGACGGGTCAAGGCTGGCTATCCCCCGGGGGGGGGGGGCGGGGGGCTTCTGGGGCAGGGGTGGGGGGAGACGGGTATCCAGGACCCACCGTGGACCCCTGCCCCTAATGTCCTCGTGGCCAGACCTGTCTCCAGCCCACCTCCCAAAGCACGCCAAATTCTGTGTCGCTCCCCAGGCTGCTGAAACCTAATGGTCAGGGGTCCCGCTTCGTAGAAATGCCCCTGGCCGGCGGGTTCCACTCCAGATGCGAACACGGACACGCTGGGGCAGGGCCAGGCCATGTCTCTCGCGGGGAGTGTCGCCTGGGTTTGGGGATGCGTGCGATGGTACCATTTCAGGCTCAGGACAGCATCCGCAGCCAGAGGGCGGGGGGCTGCTCCAGGCCGGCGCCGTGGAGGCACGGAAGGCCCTGTGAGGGGCTACTTGGCCCTCCCTGCAGGCTCAGGTACAGCCTTTCCTGGGGTGTCCCCTGCTAAATTTGGGGGGCAGGGGTACCTTGGGGAAGGAAGGAGTGTCCTCTGGGGGCCTCTGTGTTCTACCTCAAGTGGGGCAGACAGAGGAGAGCACTGGACCCCGGGAGCCTGACCTCAGTTTCCCCGCCTGCGTGGGAGGGAGGGAGGCACAGGTCTCCTGGGGCTCTGCTGACCACGGCAGCGTCTGTAAGGAACGGGCCCCAGGGGTCTCTCTCCTTTCTGCCCTAGCGTCCCTTCCCTCACACCCCCTGAGGGGACCCAGTTCTCCTCAAGTCCGAGGGGCAGGGCTGGGGGCTGAGTGGCACCGCGTGCCAGCCTTGTCCGCTCTGCCTGCCCCAGCTGACCAGCTGACCGTGCAGCCAGCCCTAGGCCGGGAGACAGCTGGCGTGGCCGTCGCGCCAGCAGCCCTGCGGAGAGAGGAGGCCAGGAGGCCTGGTCCTTCTGTGCTCAGAGCCCTGGGTGTGCTCAGTCGGGCCTGGGCCCCTCATCGCCGGGGCACGGGTCACCCAGAGACGGTGTATCGGGGGCATCCCGGCCCCTGTTTCCAGGGACGGTTCTGTGCTTCCCCGCACCTCACTGGCCGACCCTCTGAGGGTCTGGGAGAGGCTACAGCCACCAGCACGGGGGAAGGGCTGGTCGGGAAGGAGCCTCATGCATCAGGAAGCGCTCGTCGCAGCATGCAGAGAGGGCGGCCCGTTACCCCCAGGTGACCAAGGGGCCCCAGGAAGGTGTGTCTCGGCACCAGCCGTGGAGGCCACCGCTGTGCATGGGCCTCTCCAGATGCGTAAGTAAGGGGACGGGTGGGGTCATCTCCAGAGGAACTCACCCCAAGGGGCATGACTGTGTGCACTTCTGGGCTTCGGGGAGGCATCTGCGGAGGGGTGGTCCCGAGAGACCAGCTCTGGCTGCAACCCAGTGGTCTCTGCGTGGGAGTGTGAGTCAGGCCAGCCGTCAGGCGCACAGATGACCTTCCCCACCACCTGTGGCCAGGCAAGGCCAGGCATCGATGCCAGCCCCTCGCACCTCTGCACCCACTGCCCGAGGCATTCTCGAGCACGTCTGCCCCCTCGTAGCGGGCACACCTGGTGCCCGTGGCTCGTCGCATTTTCCACTCAAGAGTGGGGCCTGGGGGTGGGTCGTCACCCTCGCCCTGGGGCCCACCCCACACGTGCTGCAAAGAGCTTGGGCCTGCAGAGGGAGCCCCTCCCCCCTCAGGCAGTGACAGGGATGCCCGTGGCTTCGGGGCTTGGTCACTCATGTGGCCCTGAGCTCTGAGACGCCTGCCACGTTCCCCTCATTTGCAGCGTGGGTGGGAGGAGGTTTGGTCTCTGGGTGCTTCTGACACCAGTGAGGGCCTGGGGAGCAGCCTCGTTCTCGGCTGGTCCTGGCGTGGGGCGCAATGGGGACCCACAGCCCCTCCCTCTGACCCCAGCCAGAGCGCAGTCTTGGCCATTAACCTCCTCCGCCCGGCTTGCCCACGGCTGTCCGCCTGTCACCTCCATTGATGCTGGTACATCCGTGCCTGGGGGGTGGGGGGGGAGGCGAGTGGTCAGGACGGCCAGCAGGGACGGGGCTGGCAGGGGGCAGTGGAGCGGGCTCACGGCAGGCCTGTCTGATTCCCGCAGTGCCCACACACAGCCCTCCCCAGGACAGGGGTAGGGGGCGGGCCTGCCTGCGCCGGGCAGTCCGATCGAGGTGCTGGAGCCCCCAGGCAGGGCTGCAGGGTCCCCGGGAGGGGCAGCACCATGCAGGAGACCCTTGGTGCCAGCACCCGGATCGTCCCTGTTTGAGGTGGCCTCAGGGACTCCTGGCTAAAAGCGGTGAGCCCAGGGCTTGGCCAAAAGGAGCAGGGCCACAGCGGAGGGCCCTGGATGCTAAAGCGGGCCTGTGGGGAGCTGCAGGGGGGTCACGGCGGGGTGGTGAGGGCAGCAGGGGAGCCAGGGATGCGATGTGGGCAGGGCCGTGGGCAGGTCTGGGGTCCCCACCGCAGGCGTCACGGGGGCTGGGCAGAGTGGCTCGCAGGGGGCATGTGCAAGGCCTGGGGAATTCTTGGAAATCTCTGAGGGGCCCCTCCCTGACGGAGGAGGCCCAGCTGGGAAACTCCTGGCCCTGGGGACCCCAGGAGAAGCCCTCTGGCTCCAGCTCCCCCGGGGCCTGTGGAGGACAGTCCGGTGGCGGCAGCCCCAGCCTGCCCGTGCACGCTTTGCTGTGACCCTTGCCGCAGGCTCGCACCCCTGGAAGCCCCCACGGCCCTTCCCACGGCTCTGTCCCCACACGTTGTGGGGCGGCTGTGTGCCCGGGCCGCTGGGAAGGGGGGGGGTTCCTGGATGCTCCCTGGAGGCACAGCGAAAGAGGTGCGGCAGGAGTGAGCTCCCTGTCACGGGAGGCATGTGAGCCAGGGCAGGGGCCTTTCTCATCTCCAAGGGAGCAGTGTGGCCAGACGGGTGGGATGAGAGGCTCGGGCCTCCCGAGCCCCCACCCGCTTCCACGCGGGCACTGGCCGAGCAGCGCCTGGGGCCGACAGCAGCCATATGTTGGAAGAGGAGCTGCGCGCGGCGCTCTGCGGCCCCCCGGGCCCGGCCTTCCTGGGCCTGTCACACATGATTTTCCCTGCCTGAGTGGCAGGCCAGCCGACAGGGGGGGCAGGCGGGGGCTGCAGAGCCTCTGTGGCGGCTCCAGGTCCCCCCAAGGCTCTCAACACTGGACCTGCAACTCTGGGTAGATCCAAGTGCTGGGCCTTGAGCTCGGGACCCCCAGTGTCTTGCTGAGTGCCCTGCCCCGTGGCAGGCCCCCCCACCCCATCCCCGGCCAGGTCAAGGTCGGGGGGGCCGGGAGAGGACCCCTGGCTGGCTGGCAAGGGACAGCCCTCCCGCGCAGGCGTGGGCGGGCGCCAGGGGTGCACGCGGGCCGCGTGGGCGCCCGGGGCAGGCGGGAGAGCGCCCCGAGCCTCGGCCCTGTCAGCCCGGCGCCCACAGCCGTGCAGAGGGAGGCGGGAGGCCGCGGCTAATTTGTACACTAAGTGCTTCTGACAGGGACGCTTCACAAGTGGGAACACACCACCGCCCGCCTGGAGAAGGCCGCCGTGGCCGCGTGGGCAGGGAGGTGGCCTGGACGAGAGGCCAGGAGAGAGGGCTGTGGGGGGCCTGAGGCCGATTCGGCAGAGAGACGAGGGGGAGGGCCCAGGACCAGGGGCTGCAGTGGCCAGGAGGTGGGAGACACGGGAGGCCGAGGGCTGGTGTGGGGCCGGGACCCAGCAGAAGGGGGGTGGCCTCTGGCCCTTCGCCTGCTCCCCGTTCCGGTGGCCCTGGGGTCCAAGTGCGGCCAGCCATGGTCAAGAGCTTGGTGGCTGAGTTCACACCCCAGGCCAGCCTGGCTGGCCCCCCATCCTCTCTCAACACCGGCCACTCCCCCAGGAGCCCCCTGATCCTGGCCTAGCGCCCCCCTTGGCCCCCTGCCAGCACCTCCCGTGAGCTCCCAAGTCAAAACTTAGGGGTCTGGACTATGGGGTCCCCCATCTCCTTCCCAGACACTGTGCGTCCTTTTGGGGTGGGTCCATGTGGGCCCTCTTTCCATCACCCCCTCTCCGCTAGAGCCTCCTCCCTTGCATGCTGGGATTCAAGGGAAGGGGGTGGGTGCACAGGCCCCCCCCCCCCCGCCCCGACCCCATGTGAGGCTGTGGCCTGGCCGGACGCTGCAGGGACCTCGGGAGCCTGCTGTTCTCGTCTTGCTTCATGGGTTGTCCCAGGCAGGGATGTGGGTCCAGGCTGCAGGGACGCCCCAGGGGTGACAGGGCCAGCCCCGTGCCAACCCAAAGTGGACGTGCCGGGCCCCCGCCCCACGGGACAAGGCCCAGCGTGGCCGGCGCAGCCGCGGTGGAGCAGGGCGCCCGTGAGATGTGTTGTGGCAGCTGCCCCGCTGCCCGAGGCCCGCCCGGAGCGAACACTGCTGGTGGCTTTAATTGCTTTCACATTCGATAGGCTGGCCTGTGACAGGCCTCTTACACCCGCCCGAGCACCGGCCTCTGCAGCCCCCCCACTCCGCAGCCTCTGGGTGTGTGTGGGGGGGTGGCCCCCGCTGTGCAGACCACAGCCCAGTGAGCGGCTCAGCATGCCCGCCTCGGCCCGCCACCCGAGACCCCGGGGATGGTGCCTCCCAGGATGGGCAGGAGGGGACGTGGGCCGGCTGGGGCCAAGCTCAGACGGAACCTTTTCTCCCAGTGCAGCCCCTCACCCCGTCTGCTCCTATGTAGTGACCCTGACGGGTTCAGACAGGACCCCTGAGAGCAGGTGCCACAGGGAAAAGCGCCGTCCTGTCTGCGTGAGGACCGGCCTGCTGGCCGTGGAGGGTCTGGCCCAAGCCTCTGCCCTGCCCGGACCCCCAGCCCCAGCCCTTCAGCCGTGCAGGCAGCTGGCAAGTCCCCCTCAAGTGACGTCCCGCACAGCCTTGCCTGCAGGAGGGGAGAGGCCCGGGACCCTGGCGGACAAGACGAGACGGCGGCGTTACAAAACAAAACGTTTTTATTTGGTCCATTGGAGCCTGAGTCTGGAAACGCCCATGGAGAACCATCCTACAGGGATGGGGACTGGCAACTGGTAAAATAGTCTCTGTGTCAGAAGAGCTGGCCGTATATACAGGGTTAAAAATATTCACAGCTCAGAGTAAAAGGGGAGTGGAGTGCTTCCCGGTGTTTCTCCAGGCGTAAAAGCCCCCCCAGGGCTGCCCGCTGACTGGGAGCTGCAGGACACCGAGGCTGGGCGGCCCCCGCAGGAGCTGGCCTCCGATGTCTGCGGGCAACTGCAGGTCTCTGGCCTGACGGCAGCCTCAGGGGAGGGCGGCCGGGGGGGCCGAGTGGCCGCTCAGCTCCCCGGGCTTCCGAGGTGGGGGAGGAGCAGGGAGGGGCCCAGACAGGGAGCCTGCCAGAGACCCGGACATCGAACAGCAGGGCTGGGTCCGGGCCTGGCTGCACCCTGACCGGCGGGCCCTGACCTCCAGCCCTGGGGGCATGGCTTCGATCCTGGCAGGCTCTCCAGGAATTGCATAGTGTCGCCAGAGGGGCAGCTGGGACCCTCCCCATCCCCGGCCCTGAGCCCTCGGTCGCCAGGCACCTGGCTCCTGGGACACGCTGCTGGGACTCCAAGGACCCCTGCTTGCTTTGTGGGGGATGGGGGGCAGGGAAATGTGCTCTGGGGGTTAGCTGGGGCGAGAAGGCTCCTGAACTCATGTCCCACGAGGGGGTGGTCCCTGCTCTCACCCCAGGATCCCAGCCTCTGACCCCAACAGAGGAGGGTGGTCCCTACTCACCCTGGAGTCCCAGCCTCTGATCCATCACAGAGGACATGGTTCCTCTTCACCCTGGGGTCCCAGCCTGACCCCTACAAGGGAGTGAACCCTGCTCTCACCCTGGGGTCCTGGCTTCTGACCTGCCCAGATCTGGTTCCATGGACAGGGCTCTTGGCTGCCTCGCCCAGGGAGGAGGCCCCAGGCCCCCAGGGGACGAGAAGCCTCGCCTCGGTTTGGCCCCGGCAGTCTGAACCCGGCCTGGAGGTGGACGGTCAGAGGGGCTGGCGTACAGGCCCCTGCGCTAGAGGCGGGTTCGAGGTATTCTGCTTGGTAGCTGGGAGGCCCTGGGCAGGAGGGAGGGGCAGAGAGGAAGGCCTAGGGAAAGCTGCTGCAGCTAGTGGCTCCCTGGGCGGGGTCCTGAGATTCTGCTTCAAGCGGCCTCCACTGGGGTCTCCCTCATAAAGTGCGCGTGGGGGCTGGGAAGGCGGGGTGGTCACAGAGGCCGAGGGCCATGCAGGCCAGCGACTTCCGGCGTGAGCGGGGGGCTGTGGGTGCCCCTGGAGGCTGTCCAGTCACTGAGGAAGGCCTGGGCCGCCTTGCGGTGCGCCAGGCGGTGGGTGATGGAGAAGCCCGCGTTGCCCTCCAGCTGGGACAGGATCACCAGGACCTGCCTGGGGGAGGGGGCCGGTGAGGGCCGGTGGGGGCGGGGGGCGGGGTGCGGGCGAGGGGCGGGGCAGGGGGCCGGTGAGGACGGAGGGAGCGGGGCGGGGCCCACCTGTGCAGCGGCGGCACGCTGTCCTGGGTGCGCAGGCTGCCGCGCGTGGACACCACGTTGAAGCTGTCGGAGCAGTCACACTGCACGTGCAAGTAGGACTTGGGGTGCCGGTTCTCCACCACCACGATGAGCCCCGCCCAGCCGTGCGTCAGGTAGTAGCAGGTCATGCCCTCGCGTCCCTGCGCACACACAGCGGGAGTGGGCTGGGGCGGGGCCTCCCCCCTCCCCCCCCCAGGACCCCGCCCGCCGGCCCACCTCGTGCCGCTCGCCCCGGCTCTCGGTGAGCAGGATGATGGCGTCGGCCAGCGTGGTCGGCTGGGCCTCCACGGGCTCCACCATGACCAGCCTGGAGCTGTACACGGCCAGCACGTGGCCGGGCGGCTGCGGGGCGCCGCGCGGGACTCCCGCCGAGGGGCTGGAGGCTGTGGGGGGCGGGAGGCGGGGCGGGCGTGAGCGGGGCGGGGCCCCAGTGCGGCCCTCCCCGTGGGCGGGGCGGGGCGGGGCGGGGCGCGGCGCGCGCGGCCTTACCCTGCGCGCCGGCGGGCGGGGGGCCCGGCGCGGGGCTCCAGTGGTTGAAGGCACAGCACACCACGGCGTACTCGCCCGGCTCCAGCATCACGTCGCAGTTGACGAACTTCTTGACGGCGCGCTTGCTGTGGGCCAGCAGGCGGCCCAGGCTCAGGCGGCCGCCGCCGCCGAAGGACGCGCGGAACACCAGCACGCACAGGTCCAGCAGGTGGCTGTCCCCGGAGTCTGCGCGCCTGCGGCCACCCACGGGCGCGGCTGAGGTCGGGGGGGGGGGGGGGGGGGGGGGGGGGGGGGGGGGGGGGGGGGGCGGCCCCGCCCCCTCCGGCCCCCGGCCCCTCCGGCCCCGCCCCGCCGGCCCCGCCCCGCCGGCCCCCGGCCCCGCCCACCTGCTGCCCTCCTGGAAGAGGGCGAACTCCAGGGACGCGCGCTCCAGCACCGTAAGAGCAGTCACCCCCACGGGCCCGCTGGCGGAGCTGGGAAAGCAGCCCTGCACACGCGCCTCCTGCCAGTCCGAGTGCACCTTGCAGATGTCCACGGAGTCGAAGTACCTGGACAGCAAGAGGGCAGCCCCTCTGCGCTCAGGCGCTGGCGCATCCCGAACCCCGTCCACTCCCTGACCCAGGGCATCTGCAGGGACCGGTGTCGGGAAGCCCTGTCCCTGCTTGTTGCCCATGGACACCACCAGGGGGCGTTGGGCTCCAAGTATGACGGGGTAAGGCCCAGCCCTGGCTGAACAAGCCCCTCCCTCACTGACCCTGTGCGGAGCTGGATTCTGGGAGGACCTCCACCTCAAGCTGCTGGGAAGGACCGGTGGGCTCCCCAGAAAAGGGCACCCCCCGATGGATCAAGCGGGGCAATCGGGTCAGGGGAGCCAAACCGAAGGTGGCTGGAGCATGAGGGCTGCCGTGGGGGGCGCATACTGGCGCCTCCTGCCTGCAGTGTCCGGATACCTGATGAAGTCACTGTACTCCATCCAGAAGACGCCCTCGCTGCTCCCGTGTGGCATGAGCTCGCTGCGCAGGTGCCCTGGCCAGTGCGGCCACTCATCTGACCAACTGCCATTCCAGGAGAAGCGGCCCCACGGGTTCCGGAGGCGCAGGAGCCTGCAGAACACAGGGCTGAGGGCCGTGTCCGTGCCCACCGCTGCCCCCACCCCCCCCACCTCCCGCCGGCCCCTACCTGGAGCCCTGGACGTCGCGGACGTCCAGGATGGAGTAGGCGTGGCGGGGACGCAGGCCCAGGCTCTCATAGGCAGCGTCGTCCACTCTCATGTTACCCCCGCCGCAGGAGGCGCCCATGAGGAACCTGCAGAGGCAGAGCAGTCTCAGTGACCAGGGACCCTCAGGAGCCAGAAGCCTCTCTGCTGACCCTGCCACCCAGTGGGGAGGTGCTGCACAGGGGTCGGGGATGGGAGGTGGAACGTGGAAGGTAGCCGGGGGGGGGGCTGCCTGTGGGGACCCCCACGGGACACACGGGGCTCAGGAAGGTGCTGTCCCAGCCCCCTCGGCTGTGGTGCAGGAGCTCAGAGGCCTGGGGCTACCCGTTCCCTGGAAGCCTTGAGGCTGGCTGGTCCTGCCAGCTCAAGGCTGTGGCTCTCAGAGGGCAGCAGTTCTGCCCGCTATCTGCTGAGAGCACAAGGTCTTGGCACAAATGAGCTAGCTGTCTCTCCCAGGCCTAAGGTTCTGGGCCCTTCCATAGACATGCTGGCCAGTGCGTGCCAGGTCTTAGAAGGCAGGCCCCACTCCCACCAGGTGCCTCTGTGGGGGTCTCTCCACCCGGCTCCAAGCGGGCCCTGGCGGTCACCACTGGCCCAGCTCAGGATGAGACCTTCCAGGTACAGGCCAATGGGCAGCATCTTGCCCGCTGGCCGTGAGAGATGCCGGTGAACTTGAGATGCAGGGTGCGGGTCAGAGGGCGCGTGCCCCGCTTCTCCCACCGCTCCAGGCCCCGGCCTGGCCGTCCCCTTGTCTCGCCTCTCCTCCCAACGCCGCTGACCGCCACAGCGCCCGCCCCTCTTACCCAGCCTCCTTAGAACTCAGCATTTTGGCCCAGATGAGGTCAGTGTCAACGGGCTCCTCGCGGGGGTTAGTGGAGCTGACCTGCAGCGCCAGGCTCTCACAGGGGGCACCGGTGAGCGTGGCCAGGCCTTCGATGGCGCGCCCCGCCTGGAGGGCGAAGTAGGAGCCGTGCAGCTTGGCCAGCGCCTTCTCGATGAGCGCCACCCACAGCTGCTTCCGCTGAGCCTACGGGGAGGGGCTGGAGTCAAGAGGCCTGACGCGGGCCAGCACCCGTGCTGCCCGCCTGGGCCCGCCCGGCCCTCCACCTGGGAGAAGAGGAGGAAGCCGGCCTCGTCGCACGGCAGCATGTCATCCACCAGCACCGTTGTCCACGTGCCGTCCTTGCACAGCCGCACCTGGTAGGCGCCCTCCGCACACAGGCTGCGTGTGACCATCACTCGCTCGACCAGGTCGGGCCGCTCGGCCAGCACGGCCAGCGCGCTCAGGAACCTGCACAGAACCGGAGGGGGGGAAGGGGGCTCCTCTGTGAGCACGCTGGGCCGCCAGCCACCCCGCCCCCTGTGGGCGCCCCGCTCACCAGCAGTTCCCCAGCAGCCCCTGCAGAATGTCCGAGGGCCGGAGAGTGTGGAACACGGACCACGAGGTGTTGTGGTCCCTGGAGACGGAGCAGTTGATCTCGTGGGGCCGCAGCCACTGCCGTACACGCTGCTGGACGCTGTCACCCGCAGGGAAGCCCACAGACTTGGGCCCAGGGGGGAAGCTGTCATCCACGAAGTTCACGCTGTTCTGCAAGGGCCACGGCCTCACACTCAGTCTCCTCCTGGCTGAGGCCACACCCAGCACCCTGAAAATGCTGCCTGGGCCCAGAAGCAAGAGGGTGGGTATGTGCAGCCACCCTGCCTGATCTGGATGTCCTGGTCAGGGCTCTGTGTGGGCCACAGCACCCCACGTGGGCACGGGGACCACTGCATGCCCCCAGCCTGGAGGCCACAGGGACGGCAGGCATGGGGTGCAGGGACACAAACCCCGAGACAGGCTGCCAGGTGGGCTGCTGGCAGTGATGGGGGCAGCAACCTGAAGGGGGACAGACAGCCCCTCCAACTGACTCAGGGGGCAGTGTTCCCCTGACTCAGGCCTCCCACAGCTACAAGGGCGGAGGGGCGTGAGGAAGTGTCCAGGCCCCGAGTTTCCGCGGGGTCTTCCCAGCTCGAGGAAGCACTGGGCCTGCCTGTGGCAAGAAGCCTCCACCTGCAACCCCCCCTCAACCGTGGCTTCACCACCTTTGGGAAATCACAACTGAGGAGGGTCAGGAGCACAGATCCTTCTGGATAGACTGGATGAGAGGGACCCTGCCGCTGTGCGGAGCTTGGGGAAGAGTGTGTCACTCCGGCCAGAGAAGGAACACCAGTAAAGGACAAAAGGTACAGACACCCTGATCGTGGGACAGAGGGCCACGATGAGAAGGGGCCCGTGGAAGGGGAGGGCCGGCCCGGAGCGTGGCCACCATCCTCAGGGCGCTCACCTCCCGGCAGAAGGCCACGATGTTTTCCCAGAGGGCCTTGGCCTCACCCTCATCGGTCTGCCGCCGCTTCTCCACGTGCATGCTCTCCCTGCGCCTCAGGGGTGTGACGCCCCGGCGCTGGGCCACCAGGAGCTGGGGTGTGTGACAAGCGGCACAGTGCTTGGCCCTGGGTGCGTTGAGCAGAGTGCAGGCAGGGCAGGCCCACTGGCCCGGGCGCTCAGGTGGCACCGCGGGGCCCGGGCAGCTGGCCTTGTGGGCGGAGCAGGGGCCGGACTTCTCGGTGCTGCAGTCGAGGCAGCGGGTGGGGGGCTCACCGTGCTCCTGGAAACCATGCAGCTTGGAGCAGCCGCACGCAGTGCATCGGGGGGCCGCCGTGGGGTTCCTAAGTGTGCACTTGGCACATGACCAGGTGGTGAAGTCGGGGCTGGAGGGGCTGGCGGGCTTGTAGCGCACGGTGTCTCCAGCCAGGTCAATGACGTCGCTGCCCGGCATGGCGCCGCAAGCCTCACAGCGGCCAGGGCTGCCCTCGGCGGCTTCCTCCTCCAGCATGCTCAGCCTCTTGCTTGACAGCAGCTCCGCCAGGCGGGAGGCTCCGGCTGCGGTCCGCCCTGGGCCCTGGGGGGGCCCCTTGGAGCCGGCAGAGGGGGAGGGCTGGGTGGCCTCAGGCACCGGTGGCTGCAGCTGCGGGGGGACCTCGCGGCGGCTGCGGGGCACAGGGTTGTTCTGCAGGGTGGGCGAGAAGGGGCTGAAGGTCGGCGCCCGGGGGGGCTCCTGGTCGGTGGCAGAGGGAGGGTCAGCTTCGGCACCTTCCCCGGGCTGGGGTGGGGCAGGTATGACGTGGAAGCCGGCGGGGGCCACAACTTCGGGGACCACCAGGGCCTCGGGAGGGATCCTGGGCAGCGAGAGTTTCCGGGGGCCGCCGCAGGCAGAGCAGGAGCTGGCCACGGGCGTGTTGTGCAGCGTGCAGCGCTGGCAGGCCCAGCCGCTCCCCGGCTCTGCTGCTCCCTCCTGCTCCCCCTCCTCCACCTCCACTTCCTCCTGCTGCTCCTCCTCCTCCTCAGGCCGCCCCCGAGCTGGGTCTGCGGCCGCCAGCCCCACCGTCCGAACGGGACCGGCCTCCTCCTTGCAGCCGCCCCTGGGCTCCGCCAGGACCCCGTTGATGATGGGCAGCAGGGAGGTGCCAGGCACGGGCTCTGGGGCAAAGCCGCACACCTCACAAGTCTCTTTGCCCAGAAAGTTCCGGAACGTGCAGCGGGCGCAGGGCCATTTCTGCTCCTCCACGCTGAGCCGGAGGATGTGGTCGAGGTCAGGCTTGTGCCGGGGGGCCTCACAGATGGAGCACTGGCGTTGGCCGGCTGGGTTCAGGAAGGTGCAGCGCGCACAGGACCACTCCCCAATCGCGGCCATGGACCCAGGAGAGTGCGTGTGGCTGCAAGGCAAGACCCTGATCAGTGCAGGCCGGAGGACAAGGGCCCGAGCCACCTGGGACAAAGGTGTTGGGCTGCAGGTCGGTGCCCTTCCGGGCTGTAACAGGCGTCAGGCCCTAGAGTGTAGCCTCTGAGGGGCTCGAGGACTCTCAGAGTCAGGGGCCCCCAACGCCTCCCACAGGTCTGTCCTCAGACCCCTTCCGGAGGGGCAGACCCGTGGAGACAGAGCAACGGGGTCGAGCCACACTATCCTAGTGGCCGTGGGGCCCTGCTGGGGAGGCAGGCAGTCTCTAACCAGTTCCAGAAAAGAGTATGAGTGAATTTCCTGGACAGGATAAAGGGCATCCTCAAAACCCTACAGCGGACATCATACCCAGCGGTGACACACTGAGTGCTTTCCTCCTGAGACCAGGGGCTCAGTGCTGCTGGTCAGCACTGTACCGGAGTCCCAGGCAGAGCAGCCAGGCAGGAAACAGAGATAAAAGGCATCCAACTGGAAAGGAAGAAGTAACACCACCTCGGGTCGCGATCTTTCCCCACACTGCTTGGGATCCCCCGACCCCCACCTCGCCCTCCCTCGCTCATGCGTGCGTGCTCATGCTCTCTGCTAAAAATAAATAAACATTAAAAAAGGAAAGTCCTGCAGCTAATAAGTGAATTCGGCAATGTTACAGGGCTCGAGATCGACACACAAGCGTCAGGTGTGCTTCCGTGCCAGCAACGAAACGCCGGAGAAAGGGAAGTTGGGAGAACACCACCACTTCATCCCCAGCGGTGAACTATCTAAGGGTCCTTTTCACCAAGAAGGAGAAAGACTTGTACTCTGAAAACTACAAAGGACATCACAGAAGACCAGAACAAACGGAAAGACACCCCCTGGTCAGAGACCGGAAGACTTCATACAGTTACAACCACAGTAACACCCAAGTGATTGACGAATTCAGATTCAGTGCAAGCCCAATCAGAATCCCCCTTTCCTTTTCTTTCTAGTAGGAATGGAAAAAGCTGATTCTAAAATTCCTATCAAACGCAAGGACACCCCCACCCCTCCCACAAGTGGCCACAGCAGTCCTGAACAAGAGGGGCAGCAGACAGGCGGCACCTGCACAAGGTCCCAGCGTAACCTACACACGGTCTGTGCGGCCACAGGACAGCACTGAGGAGCCCGGACAGGTGCCTCACACATACAGTCAAAACATTTTATTTTTTCATGTGTTTTTTTTTTAATGTTTTATTTATTTTTGAGAGAGAGAGAGAGAGACAGCGTGAGCAGAGGAGGGTCAGAGAGAGAGGGAGACACAGAATCCGAAGCAGCTCCAAGCTCCGAGCTGTCAGCACAGAGGCTGACGCGGGACTCGAACCCACGAACCGTGAGATCATGACATGAGCCAAAGTTGGACGCTTAACTGACTGAGCCACCCAGGCGCCCCACACACGACCCTGAGATTAAGGGTTACACACTCCAACTGAGCCAGCTGGGTGCCCCTGGTCGAGTGATGTTAGGCAAGGGCGCCAAGACCACTTGGGGAAAGGGCAGTCTTTTCAACAAATGGTGCTGGGAAAGCAGGATCTCAGCACTGAACAACGAGGTTAGGCCCTTACCTCACACCATATTCAAAAATTAACTCCAAATGGATCAATGACTTAAATGTAGGAGTGAAAACTATAAAACTCTTAGGAAAAAAACTCAAGAAAGATTTTGGGACTTTGAGGGGCACCTGGCTGGCTCAGCTGGTAGAACATCCAACTTTTGATCTCAAGGTTGTGAGTTTGAGCCCCACGTTGGGCATAAAGCATACTTAAATAAAAGAAATAAATAAAGGAAAAAACAGATAAAACTGAGTGATCTTGAACTGACCATGGATTAGATATGACACTAAAAGTATACGCAAGTGGAGGGAAAAATCAGAGTTCGTCCAATGAATAGCTTCCGTGCTTCAAAGGGCACAGCTGGGCAAGTGAAAAGAGCACTCATAAAATGAGAGAGAATATTTACAAACATGTGTCTGACAAGGGTCTCGCATCCAGAAAATATAAATAACTCTCACAACTGAACGACAACAATAAAGCTGTTTTAAAAACGGGCAAAGGACTTGAATATTTCTCCAAAGAGGATATATGAGTGGCCATGGAAGCCTGTGGAAAGATGGTCAAATGTCACTGGCCATCAGGAAAATGCAAACCGAAGCCCCCGAGAGGCGCCACCGCACACCCAGCACGGCTGGCCGGAATGCACAGCGCGGACGACAGCAAGGACCACTGCCTCAGAGAAGCCAGGACCCGGCCCTGAATCGCCAATGGGAACGCAGGGGCAGAACGGTGCGGCGGCCAAGGACACAGTCTGGCAGGTCCTCAGCTAGTTACCCGGGTGACCATCCGGCCCGGCAATTCCTCTCCTGGATGTGCACCCCCGACAGTGCACAACTGGTACCCCAGCGCACACACGCTCAGAGCGGATCTACTCACGACAGTCAAAGGTGGAAACAGCTCAAATGTCTGTCAGTGAAAATACAGATAAACAATACGTGGACTATTATTATTCGGCCATAAGAGAGAATGAAATTCCAACGCGGGCTGGATTCTGTGTCTCTCTCTTTCTCTGTCCCTCCCCTGCTCATGCTGTCTCTCTCCCCCTCAGAAATAAATAAAACATTTAAAAAATTTTTAAAAAGAAATTCCGACACAGGCTACAACCTGGACAAACTGTGAATACGTCGTGCTAAGTGAGAGAAGACAGACACAAGACCGCACGTCACAGGGGACCATTCACAACACGAGACCCAGAGGCGGGAAGAGGTATGGGGGTCCTCAGGGGCTGCGAACGACTTCCTAAGGAGCACTGGTGATGACGTTCGGGGACTGAGGAGAGGTGATGGACACACAGTGTGAATGTACTAAATACCACTGGTCATTCACTCTATGATGATTACTTGATATTGTAGGAATTTCACCTCAAAAAAAAAAAAAAAAAAGCAAGCTCAAGGGGAGGGCCAGGGCCTGAGTGACTGGGGGTCACCCTGACCCAGGGCCACTGGCCCAGCTGCCTACTTGGTCTCTCGGGGGACCCTGGGCAGACATCTGACCACGAAAAGCGGGCTAGCAGTGCTCGAGGCTCACCCGCTGGGTCACGGGAGAGACAGGCGGTATCCTGGGGCTGCGCACCGCCCACCGACCTGCCCGCTATCAACCCAGACCAGGGCAGGGCCGCCGTGCAACATGCAAACCTGAACCCCCAGAGCATGCGCCCAGGCCGTGGGGCCGTGACAGCTGGGGCCCACCCCGCACCCGGCAGTCCCAGGGGCATCACGGGGGAGGTGTTCAAGGTCACAGGAGGTGGGACAAAGGGCAGAGTCCCTTCCACCATCAGCTTGTCCTGAGTGTTGGTGACGCCCAGACCTGAGAGACTCTCCTAGGACGGGTGGCCTAGTGCTGGCAACACTCAAGGTGTGCCCCCCCCCCGCCCGCTCGGAGCCCTTTGTCCTGAAGGAGGGGCCTGCAGGCATGGCCGTGTGCCCCATGTGCCAGGTGCGGCCACAGAGGACACGGCCCTTCCCAAGTGGCTGGGCCCGTGGCGTGTGTGCGCAGAGGGGAGGGCAGGTGGGGTGCTCCTGGCTCCGCCTGCCGCTGAGGGGTCACTGCCTGGGGGTGGAGATGGCCTCTCAACCTGCTCCTCAAGGGCTAATCTGGGTGCAAGGGGGTGTCTATACTCCACAACACACAGCCTCCTGCCCTGATTGTAGCTGCTCTGCTGGCGGAAAAGTCAATTGTTCTTTACAAAGCACGAGCCCATGCTTCTGATGTCGTTTACACCAAACCCTTGTGGTTCGGGAAGAAAAAGAAGTTGCCTCTTCAAAAAACAATCCAAAAAACTCCCCAAGCAGCAGGAATGCTCCTTAGGGCCCAAGGCAAACTCTGTGAAGCCACCTTCCCGGCCTGTGCGGCTGAGGGTCAGGAGCCGCCACAGCCTCACCTGCATATGGCAGTGCCCAAGCAGACAGACGGGCCGTGGGGTGAATGGGTGCCAGGCTGGGCTCAATGCAGGACACTTGGCACCAGCAGAGTGGGGCAGATCCCCTGTGGCCTTGGCTTCTGTGCTACAAACAGCCTCAGAACTCTTCCTGGAGACAAGCAGGCCCTCCCCCCACACTGCTCCCACTCAGAGAAGGGCCCACAGTCATGCTGTGCGTCACAGTGAGGGCCCCCAGACATGCACACAAGCATGGGTTAAGTCCCAGGCTGCTTTCGCCCCGGCTCCAGGCCCAGGGCACGGTCACTCACCCGGCACGCCTCACGTGGCTTGGTCACGGGGACCCGCAGAGTGAATCTGACATTTTGGAGACCACCCACTCCTGAGATGAGTCTCCAAAGAAAAGACTCAGGCCCCTGGCCTGTGTGCAGGGAAGGTAGAGGACAGCTGTCTGAGGACACGCCTGTCCCTGGAATCAGGGCTCTGGGGGCCCCAGACACACTGAGCAAGGACAGCCTGTGGACGGAGGGAGCCCAATTCCTGTCTGCCCTCCTAACCTGCCAGCTGGCCAGTCCCTGGCCTGGGCCCAGCTGACCTTGAGACACGGGGTCCGCTGGTCCCGGCCAGCACTGGGGACAGTGGAGGAACACTGCAGGTTTTGTAGCCATTGTGGTGGGTAAAGTACACCAAGAAGGTTCTGTCTGGGGTTCAGAAAGGGTTAAAGAAAGCAGTGCCTGAAATTCAAGTTTAGCCCTGGGCAGTGGCATCTCTGGCTGGAGGAAGGCTTCTTGGGATAGTGGCTCTGGCACAGGGGCTCCCTGGACAGGCAGCGGGGAGGGCGCTGTGCTCCCTCACTGACCCCTGCAGCCCACATCCCGGGGTTATTGGGCAGGCTGAGGAGAAGTGGCTCAGGGGTCAGTGACTGGGTGGCCAGAGGCACTTGCGAAGGGGCCTCTGGCCCTCACTACCCTCGGATCACCTTCTCCAAGTCCGCAGCCCCAGGGTCACCCCGACGTGACACAGGGCCTGGGCAGGAGCAACGGCATCGGGACCTGGAGCCAAGCCAGACTCCCGCGCACAGCTTGCTGGAGCACCGCGACACCATACAGTCCGGAATGGGGGTGGGGCGGGGCGGGGGGGGGGCTGCCCGTGAAAAGACTTGAGCTACTCCTTACAAGAGAAAGGCCGAGTCAAGGGTTAACTGAGGCACGTATCCAGAAAACCCCGACGCCAAATGCCCACCGTGCCCCGTCTTCTGGGAGTCCGCAGCACCTGGTTCCAATTCAGAAGGGAGGCTATGGAGTTGCCCCGGGGGCACACCGTAAGCTCCCCCGCAGGGCACCCAGGTTTGCAGGAACACGGAGACTCATGGTCATCCCTACAGGGTGCAGCACCTCCCCGGGCACGCCTCTCTTCCCCACACAGCAGAGACTGGTAAGCAGTGTCCACACACGATGAGCTCGGCGAAGCCCCCAGACCCGAGGCTGTCAGCGTCCTGGGCAGGCTACGTCTGGATGCCCTGCTGGCTGTGGCCACCGAACCCCCAACCTTAGGATTCAAGGCGCCCTCCTCTGGGGTTACCCTTGGCCATCCTTGAGTCATCCTCGTCTCTGGGTTCCCAGGGCTTGCAGGTGGCCATGCCCACGTCCATTGCTTATGGCCCAAGGCGAGTAGCTCCCAGGGCCAGTACAAGGGGACGGTCCTGGGCAAGGAGGCAGCGTGCCCAGATTCGGAGGCTCTTCAGTGAACGGCGCCCTCCAGGCTGTGGCAGTGTCCCACGCGTGTACGCGTGTGTCCGTGTCCAGGGATGCACGCAGGGAGGGGTCCCGAGGGGTAGTGGGGTGGGGCAGCTGCCTTGTGTAGCGCCCACTCCCCACTTCTCATCCTCAGTCTGGGTGTCTGTCAATTCCTCCTGCTTCGCCTGCTCGCGGCGGCACACGGTGACCCCCACCCCCCAGGTCTGGTGGCTGCACGGGGAATGGGAAGCAGCCACTGGTGCCCCAGCCTGGGGGAGTAGCCTGGCAGGAGGCCAGGGGAATGAGAAAGTTACACCTGGGTCGGCAAGTGCGCCAGTACCCGAAGCCAGACAGGCACACGCGTCCCTCAGCACGCCGGGGCAGGGCGTGCAGGGCGCCGCCCGGCAAACCCCACAGGGTCCAGCCCGGCCTGCTGCTCCCTGGGGGCAGCCCCCCTCCCTAGGACCCAGTAAGTAATTTACCCTCAGGAAGCAAATACATGGGAATCTGTAAAAAGCGTGAGGACAGATAGGTCACACGGGGAGATGCCCCATGTCATGTCAGGGAGACACAAATCAAACCACACGGGGACAGCGCTCTGTACCCGCCAGCAGGCAGATGGTCACAAGTGTTGGCCGGGACGGGGAGACACTAGAACCCTCCCCTCCATCTCTGGTAGGGATGCAAAACGGTACAGCTGCTGTGGAACACAGCTTGGCACTGTCTTAGGAAGCCGGGCAAACTTACAGCGACCCTCGGCAGCTGCACCCTGGGTCCCCGCCCAAGAAAAAGGAAAACGTGTCTGCACAAACGCTTGAACGTGAACGCTCACGGCTGCACGACCCGTAAAAACCAAGCAGAAACAACCAACCATCTGCTGAGAAATGGATAAAACAGAACGGGGTCTGTCCACACAACAGGGTATTTATTATTCAGCCATGAAAAGGAACGAAGCTCTGGCACCCACTATCACGTGGAGGGACCCTGAGAACGCTGTACTTGTTGACAGAAACTAGATGCAAAAATTAAACGATTCCACTGGTGTGAAATTTCTTGAAAAGGCAAAGCTATAGGCAGGGGGCAGGGTGGCTGCCTGGGGAAGGGTGGCAAATGGGCAGGGTCCCTGGGGGCTCAGAGACATGGGTGCACAACTCTATAAACTCCCCAAACCACGCAGCTGCACACTTACGAGGGGTGAATGAGACACACAGATGTCCACCAGTGCGTCCCCAATACCGTAACAAGGGAGCAGAGCAAACCCTTCCTGCCACTGGGGTAACTTAGGTGAGACCCGTGCTGCGCCCACCGGCTGGGCCGACTCCAGCACCTCGCAGGTGCCCCACCTGCTGGGGGCTCAGGCCTCGGGTCCAATGCCATTCCAGAAGGGACATCCGTCAGGACCCTGTCTACTGTCCACCTAGCCGGTGGGCCCAGGACACGCAACTGCCCTGCACACTGACCTGTGCCCACAGGAGGTGATGGCCAAGTGCCACAAGGCGGGCGCCTTTGGGGAAGGGCGTGCCGCTAGTGACGGGGTCCCAGGAAAGCAGGGGTTGCCGCTGCTCTGCCCGAGGCTGGAGGGACCCCGGCTGTCTACTGAGCACCAGGCTCCCCTCTCCAGTGGGGCCGCAGGATGGGCCGAAGGCAGAGGCGGGCCGCCCGAGCCCAGTGCCCCCCGAGACCTGAGCAGTGGGCACAGCGCCCAGGCAGCCCCCCTCCAGGCATCCCAGAATTCCTGAGGGGAGGGTCTCCAGGTGACTCGATGGGCAGCCTCAGCGGAGAAACCCAGGCGGGGGCGCCGTGGCAGGAGAACAGCAGACCGAGCAAGCCCTGGGCCCGGCAGGCGGCCCACACAGGCCCTGCCCCGGCTACACCAGCCAGCCAGGCCGCGACCCACACTGCCTGGCTCTGTGGGGAGGGCTGGCACCCCAGAGTTTCTCCAAGAGCCTCTCAAGTCTCGGGCCTCGTCGGGGAAGCGAGCTGCCAGAGGATTCTCAGGAACGGGACCCCCCACCCTTGCAAGCCCCTCTGCCCAGGCAGGAGCACCCTGACAGAACGGCACTCCCGCCCCCGGGCCCTCCCCGCCCCACCTTCTTACCTTCGGGCCCGGGGACGCGGGGACGGGTGCTGCCGGGTGACCAGGGCACCACCCCAGACAGGCCCCCCGGGGCCACTCCTACACCAGCCGGCTGCTGCAGGGGGCCCGGAGTAAGGCGGTCCCCCGGGGAAGCCGTGGTCCGACTCGGTCTCGGTGGCCAGCGAGGAGGCGGAGCTCCCCATGGCCCCCGCGGTGGCGGCCGCGCTGAGACCCGGGCCTGGTCACACGCGGCCGGCAGCAGGGGAGGCGGAGCATGGAGGGAGGACAGCGCCCACGCCGGAGACAGGGCGGCCGGGCTGGTCAGCCACACAACAGATACACACAGAGAGAACAGAGACAAAGAGGAGAAAGAGCATGACTCACAGGAAAGAAGCCCCCAAAAGTCTGGGGAGGCTCCCCAGTGCGCAAGTGGCCTCGGGGACCCGGGGACCCCACCCCGCCCGCTGCCCAGGGGGGTCGGGCAGCACGTGTCCACGCTGGTCTCAGGAGGTCCTACTCTCAGTGAGCAAGAAGCCACGCAATCACATTTTTTGCAGAGAAAAGGCTCGAGGGGCACGGGCTGAAGGAAAGGGAGGGCTGAGCAGGTGCGCAGGGCGGGGCCTTCGGGAGGAGGGCAGCAAAGCCCCTACAGGGCCTGGCGGAGACTGCGGTGCCCTCAGGGGAGCAGACTGCTACCGCCTGCCTTTCTGGAGCCTTCCTGAGGGAGTGCCTCCCAGGCCAGACGGAGTCCAGGGGCCTGGGAAGAGACAGGGACCTCTGGCAGGGACGGCCTGCACCAGGGCAGGCGTCTGCCCCCGCCACGGGGTGAGGGAGAGGCCTCGAGTCTTGCTCCGAACAGGGCAAGTCCCAGTGAGGCTTGGGGCCAAGGGGCCCAGCCCTGACCCTCACGCAGATGCCAGGGGCCGGGTGGCCAGGGTGGAACCGCGTGAGGCCTCTGTGCGGCGCGGGCCAGCGGGCGCCCAGGCTCTGGCAGGCACTCAGGGACAGGGTATGTGGCTGGGGCCGGGGGCTGCCCGTGCTGAGAGTGACCGGCAGCACTCACTCAGCAGGGGGAAGCATGGGCCCCCCGCCCCACAAGAGCTCTGGCCAAACCACCCGAGTCCTCTGAGCGGCAAGGAAACCCTCCCAGCTAGCCTTTACTTGGCAGTGGGGGGGGGGGTGTGGGTGGGACCGAGCAGCACCTGCCCCCACTGGCCTGTGGCCTTACAAGTCACCCTGCCACTCAGGTCTGCCCACGGGGCACCGCCAGAGCAGAGTCCAGGAGGCAGAGACCCCTTGGCCTGCACAGCTGACACCATGCCCGCCCCGTCCGTAAAGGAAGTGTGTGCCGGCGCCGACCCACGGGGGCCGCACAAGCCCAGACGCCCTTTCCAGTCATCCGGCAGCCGTGCGTGGCAGGTGAAACAGATGGAAGACTCTGGAAGATGCGTCTTATGTAACCCAGTGCATCCTAACTGTCCCGGCGTCGGCGTCAAGTTCAGGTAAAACCACGTGTGAGCTAGTGACACATTTCCAAGGGAGATCCTCGAACTCTGCTGTGGGGACACACCCCTCCGCTGGACGAGCCGGGTCAGCAGGCCTGTGTGGCTTCCACACCGGGCACGCTCCCCAGCGGTCTGCTCCTTGCCAGCCAGGGTCACTGCAGACACCTGCCTCTCACACGGGTCCAGGTCAGACCCCCACCCCCTCCCCCCAACGCCGGACTCCTGGGCTCCAGTCCCTGCAGGAGACCCTCACAGGAGGGGCCCGAGTGTTTCTTTTTTTTTTTTTTTTTTTTTTTTTTTAAATGTTTTATTTATTTCTAGGAGAGAGAGAGACAGCGTGAGCAGGGGAGGGTCAGAGAGAGAGGGAGTCACAGACTGAAACAGGCTCCAGGCTCTGGGCTGGCAGTCAGCACAGAGCCCGACGCGGGGCTCGAACCCACGAACCGCGAGATCATGACCTAAGCGAAAGTCGGACGCTTAACCGACTAAGCCACCCAGGCGCCCCAGGGGCCCGAGTGTTTCTGACCCTCCTGTCACAGCCAAGTCCCGGGACAGGGGGTGGACCGTGCCATCCGCGCTGGGCCGGTGCCAGCACCACATGCATCTGAGGCAGACAGAGCTGAGGGGAACCAGCCCCAAGCAGAGAGAGGGTGTGGCCCAGGCTTCCCAGGGGGATCTGACTGCCTGGAGGAAGGGGTTCCGAGGTCCTCGCACAGGCTGGGCAAAGCACCGTCAGGGACCCACCGGCTCCTCACTAACGCCCTGAACAGGTCTTCGGCGGTGCCACGGTAAGGGCTCAGGCCTGTCACGGACGCTCGGGGAACCCTGCGCGTGGCGGGCCACGTGGCACCCTGTGTACCCGCCTCCTGACACATCTTCAGGGAACCGTGACCCTTCAGGCGCCGTCTGGGGTGGACTGTGTGGTAGCAGCCCAGTGTCCTTCTCCTCGGGGGCTCGAGGACAAGGGGTGCCCTGGAAGGGCAAATGCTCGCCAGAGAGCGGCTGGCTCCGGAGGGACTATCTGGGACCGCCAGGGACGACGGCACCCTACGTCCTGGCCCCACCGGGGGAAGTGAGAGGCCCTGGAGTGAGGCCCCCCAGGGAACAGCCACCAGCCCTGTGCTAACCCAAGAGCGCCGTCTGCGTGTGGTGACGTGCAGCCCTTGGCCCTCACGCTGGCGCCAGACTGGCACAGCAGGGCCCAGGACGTTTCCACACCCTGCTCCGCAGGCCCGGCCCCTCGAGGCAAAACCCAGGTGAGGGCCTCCCAGGGGCTGGGACACCCTGACCCCCGGTGACAAGCACCAGGCCGCCCGCTCCCCCTGCAGGGCCTGCTGGGTGGGCAAAGCCCTCACCCGGGCGAGAGCGGGGCGCGCCGGCCCACCTACTCCGCGCGTCTTCGCTCATTCAGCAAACACCACCAGGCCCCCGCGTGTGCCGGGCAAGCGCACGCAGGGCACACCTTCCGGCTGCTGTGCCTTGGGACAGCGCGACAGAGATGACGTCTCTGGGCGGAGGCCAGAGCGTACACGGTGGCGGTGCCAGACTCCCGCGATGCGACGACGCGCAAGGGGCAGGGTGCCCGGCCGCACAGCGCCCCGCGGCCCGACCACCCCCGTTTGGGAGCTGCTGCCTGACGTTTAAGCGGGACTGCGGCCTAGATGTGGCCTCGGGGACGGCCGGAGCTGGGGCTGCAGTCCCTCCGGCCCAGGGTGAGGCGTGCGCCCGGCGGGGCCCTCTCAGAGGACAGCAGGGGACAACCCACCCCGAGTGACGAGCATGAGAAGGGCCAGGCAAGCACGACCCCTCGCCCCGACCACCTCCTCTGCTAGGAGGACTAGGGCCCTTTAGAAGCTGCATCTGTCCCTTACTTAGAGGTGACTGGAGGCTCCAGGCAACCGTGTGGCCCAGCCAGCTCCTTGCTGCCTGGTTCAAGACCCCTGACCTCCGTGGCCAGCCGGAGTGGCGGATGGGGCTGTTCAAGATCCCGGGGCCTCAGGGGACAGGCGCTGCCAGGGAAAGGTGCCCAAGTGGGCGGGGCTCCAGGCAAGCAGCCTGCCAGCTGCTGAGACTCACCTCAACTCAGAGCCCAGCACCAGCGGCCACTCCACCCACCAACGGGCGACCGCCACAGCCTGGCGCTCCGTGGGGGGAGGGGCACTGGTGGCCCAGTCAGTGCTTCAGGCCAGAAGACGGGCCCAGACTCCACCCATTAGTCCCGTGTTGGCCTCAGGCAAACACCAAGGCAAGTCACTCCCACCCGCTGGGCGGGGGCCTGTGCCCTGGGAGGCGACGTCACCAGCCTGCTGACCCCAGAGAGCCAGGTGCGGGATGAAAGCCGTGGGCCCTGAAAGGGTACCTAGCACTTCCTGTTACCAACCCTGAGAGGAACCGTGCTCTGTTCCAAACCCTTGCCCTTCGGACCGGGAGCCGCCTCCTGAGGACACTATAGGGCGGTGGTCACGCCTCTGGCATTTCCGGACTTGTCCACGTGTGTCACGTCCCAGTTCCGGGGCAGCCCACCCCCGGCTTCCCGGGCACACGGAGCACCCCTGGGACACCTACTATGCTGGTCACAGGAAAGCAGCCAGACAGGGACGGGAGGGAGGGGAGGAGGGCCTCTCAGGACAGACGCACGCTCACGCACGGCGGTCCCTGACGCAGGGGGCCCCGGGGTGGCTGCACGTCCTTGCCCCGTGCTTGTGGGGACCTACCCCACCCCAGCGGCGCCTCACGCAAAAGGGCGGTGTTGTCAGACGCACAGGGACGCTCTCAGGGTCCCAGTTTCTTGGTTCAATACTGTTCAGCGTCAGATGATATTTTCTACAGGGAAAGAAAAGGCACCGGCTGTGCCCTCTCATTCCGGCGCCTTCCTCGGCCCGGGCAGGCCTGGTGACCTCTGACCTCACAGCAGCACAGGTTTTGTGGGGCCGTGGGGGCACCCAGGCTGAAGCTCACTTCAAGGGGGGGATGATGGGGAGCCGTGCAGTGCAGCCCAGGCCCCTGGAGCTCAGGCCTCCCTGCAGCCACCGCTCCTGAACAGCGGGGTTCTAGAACGAACCACCTCCCTGTTAAGTGGAGGGAGGGGAGTATCAGGCCAGGGCAGAAGGTCCTGGAGTTCAAGGTGAATTTGATTCCAAAGAGTAACTTTATGGAGAAGTGTGGATGCTGGGGGGGAGCCCGAGGAGGAACTCCCTCCGCTTCAGGTCTGGGCTGTGACGGCAGGGGGAGGGGGAGGCAGGGCCCCAGGGAAGGCCTCCTCTGGACACACGTGACACCGCTGAGCAGCAGCCATCGGCCTGCTTTCTTCCTGATTCTGTTACAGCACCGTCCAGGCACGTCCCTCAGCCTGGCCATGAGGGAGGTGGGGCCAAAGCTCCCCTCAAGCGTGGGGAAGCAAGAAAGGCAGGGCATGGCACAGCCACCAAAGCGTGATGGCGTGTACCTGCACAGGCAGCAGTGGGGCCGAGGCCCGTGTCCGTTCCACTCCCGTCTCCTGCAAACGAGGAGCCTGGTGCCCAGGTGCGTCCTCGCGGGAAGGACGGCACCACCGACTTCCCGAGCAGCCCCTCCTGGGGTGTCTGTGCTGGGCCAGGACAGCCCTCTGTCCTCCCACGGCCAGGCGCCCCAGAGCCCCCGCACCCAGCTGGCCCTGTCCTGGTGGCACTAACACAGCTGCCTGCAGAGCCCCTACTCAGACCCTGCTGGGACCCACAGAACGACAGGGTGTGGCTGGGCAGGTTTCCAAACTTGAGAGGCGGGGGCAGTCCGACCTTCGTTCAGAGGGTGGAAACCAGTAAGTCCACTCCTCATCCCCACAAACGCTGCGGGGTGCTGTACCCCGGGGTGACCCCGGAGCCACCTGCCAGCAAGCAGCCGACAGAAAACGCTCAGTGACCACCTACTCAGTGTGGATGGGACACCGCTGAGCACCAAGGGCACCTGTGCACATAAGGAGCCAGGGACAGGGCCGAGAGGTGGAATCAGAGCCCGCCATGGCCTTCCCAGGCATTCTGGGCAGAGCAGGAAGGGAAGAAGCTAGGGGAGTCTGGGTCCATGCCGAGGAACTCTGCACAAGGATTAGGCAACAGACACGATCACAGTCCCGCTCTGGGACATTCCCAGGGTGCTGGTGCTGAGTAACGGGGTGCAGGGTGGGACCAGGGGAAAGGAGCAGCGAGGAGGTGTGGGCAGTCCAGGTGGGCGGGGCGAGCAGGAGAGGCCAGCGCTGACTGATCCCAGAGCTTGTTTCATATGTACAGAGCTGGAGAGTCCCTGCTCAGGGCCCAGGCTTCAAAAGTCTGATGAAGAAGTCACCAAAGCCACCCTGCGGCTGTCCCCACTGTGCTATGGGCCTCTCATTTCAGCCTGACACTCCAGAGTAGAGCAGCAGACCAAGACATCCATGGACATATGTGACCGGTCACCAGGGCTTCCTGCTTTCTGTGGGCTCATTCTTCAAAGAGCCTCCACTGTTTCTGTGTAACCGGGCCCTCCCGTGCCTAAGGTGTCGAGGGGGCCCGGAGGGGGCCGCTCTGTGTCCAGTGACCACAAATGCCGGACTGGGGTGGCCACCCCCTGGGGCTCTTCACTCACACACCCTGGGTCCATGAAAGACACTGCGGTTTCCGAGGGACTTCAGGGCAGCAGGATAAATACTCTTTCCCACTGTCGAGTATGTAACAGGCGGTGGAAAGAGGAGGTAAAAAGGCAGCCTCGAGACTCAGAGATCTACGTGTGCAGCCCCTTGGGAGCCTTGGCCTAGTCTGCTTGTCTGAAAGCAGGGCTTACCAGGGAGCCACCCATGACAGGGGCCCGGACAGCTGGGTGAAGAGCAGGCGGCCTGGGGTCTGGGATCGGAGGTCCCTGCCTAGCCGTGCTATCCCTGAGCCTTGAGCCCAGCAGGGCTTGAACCTGGCTCTCAGGAGGTCATCAGGTCACTGCCGGTCTGCCCCAAAGCAGCTCAGAGATTTCAGATGCGGAAGGGAAAGGGAGAGAAGAGCGGGAGGACGCGGGAGGAAGTAAGATGTGCCCAACCCAAGGCCAGGCCAAACAGGCTTCCCGCAAGATGAGTCCACCAGTGTGGCCCCCGCCTGTGTGGGGCCCTCTTTCCGTGAGTCAGACCAGGGAAACACTCTCTCTGCTCGTGTCTGAGAACGTCAGAGTGGACGGATGCAGAGACTGCCCGCTCGTGCCCCAGCCCAGTCTCTGGGGGGACGCAGGGGGTCACGGACATGGCACAGCCCTCCAGACCTGGCTCCACGAGGGGCTCAGGCAGAAGTGCAGGCTGGGCTGGGCCCGTCTGCCCTCCCAGGCCTGGTGGCCCAGGAGCCCTGCTGCCTGGAGTCCGTCACAAACTCCCGGGCATGAAGTGCCCGCCCCTCCCCCCCGCCAGAGCCCCCCAGTCAGGGCCACTTGACCACACAAGGGTTCACTGGTCAGGACGAGAAGGGGTGGCCGGCAGCCTGGCAAACGGTCTCAGGGGCCACCTCCTGTAACTCCCCTGTCCCCGAAGTCAAACCAAGAGGAAGTGTGGGGTGGCCGGTGGACGCCGCCCCCGGGAAGTGCCCGGAGACCCGCTGTGGGGAGGGACGCGGGGGGTAAATGCGGACGGGATCAGAAGAGGCCTGGAAGGTAAGGGCACTCAAGGGCAGCAGGGGCCGCCTCCAGCGTCCGCAGCACCCCGGGGCTGGTCTCCCCGTGACCCAGATGACCCAGGTCCGCGCGCGCTCCCCTCTCAGACGGCGTCCCCAGCCCTGCTCGGGCTCCGACCAACGCTCGGGAGGCGCGGCTCGCCGGACCCGGGCTCCGGAGGGGGTCCAGGCCGCGCCCCCGGCCCAGCCCGGCCCGGCCCGGCCCGACTCACCTCCGCAACCTGGCGGCGCCTCCTCAGTCCCCGCGGCCCGGGCGGCACAGCCCCAGGCCTGCTCGCCGGCGCCGGCCGAGCCACAACTTCTGCCGCCGGCCTCCCGCGTCGAGTGGCGGAGAAACCGCACGCCCAGCCCGGCTCCGACTCGGCCCGCGTTCGGCGCCCGCCCTACGCCGCCTCCGTAGCGTACGCCCGGCCGGGGCCCGGCGGCTACGGCGCGCCCGGGGCGCACGCGGCGCTGTGAATCGCGCGCGCGGACTACCGCTCCCACAGGGCCGCGGGGCGCCGCCGCCAGGACGAAAGCTTGGGGCGGGGCCCGGTGCGCGATGCAGGCCGGGAGTTGTAGTCCTCTGCTGTTGGCCAACGGCCGCAGCGACCGGCTCTGTCCAGGGGCTCGCCGACTTCCCGGGCCTCCCCGTCCGCCAGCACCGCTGGATACTGCCGAGCCCCGCGCCACGCGGGCGCTGCGTGTTGGGTCTCGCTCGGAGTGGCGGAAAGAATCCTCCTAGGAGAGGACTGCGCTATTGCTCCCAGAATGCCCTGCGCTGGAGGAAGGGGCGGGACTCCAACTCCGCCCCAATCTCGGAGCTTGCGGCGTGCACTGTAGGCCCAGGTGTGCTGCTGTGGCCGCTTCCCCGTCTGTGTGGACGGGCACCCGACGAGGCCCTGGCCCCTGCGTCTCCATGGGGCCCGCAGACCTCCGTGGCGTCCTCCCAGGGACTCCTCAGTCCCCTTACCTCCCGCCTCTCAGCCGCCGTAAAGCTTCTTTGCAACTTGTCTGCTTCCGCGGGTCCTCTCGAGGCTTCGTGGTCAAAAGCTCCAGTTTTGGTGGCACCTGCTTGGGTGGAGACACGGCCTGGGCACTTACTGCGTGACTTGGCCACGTTACTTCTCGGTGGCGGGAGACGACGTGAGATGCCATCCACGGCCCGCTCAGCACCGTGCCTGCGAGGAAGACCCCTAGACCTGGGAAGCCAGGCTCTAGACAGAGCCGCCCCGCCCCCACCGCACCCCCATTCACAGAAGAGCTTCCTAGGTCCAGTCTCTCCCGTTAAGTTCCCTTTGGGCAGCTTGCGGTGACTCAGCCAGCAGTTGAGCACTCACAGCCCCTCTGCCGCCTAGATGTTTTGGAGGCAGCAGGACATGCCTGGAAGCGGTTCATCAGACGCGGCCGAAACCCAGGGAGGCTGTAGAGTGGGATGCCAGGATGCTGAGGGCAGAGCCCTAAAGACTCGCGTTCAGGGGGCACCTGGGGAGCCTGAGGTCCACTGGTCGTTCAGGAGACAGAAACCAGGCATGTCAGCTAAGAGATTCAGGGCGAGTACTTGGTCGTGGCTCAATTGTGCCTCCAGACTCCAGGATAGAGTTTGGTTTGGTTTGGTTTTGAGAGAGAGATACTGTGAGCAGGGGAGGGGGGAGAGAGAGAGAGGAGAGGAGAGAGGGAGAGGGAGAGAGACAGAATCCCAAGCAGGTTCTTCACTGTCAGTGAGGGGCCCAGTGCGGGGTTTGAACTCACAAACTGTGAGGTCATGACCTGGACCTAAATCAAGAGTTAGACGCTTAGCAGACTGAGCCACCTAGGTGCCCCAAGATGGGGCAGAATTTAAGTGGAAGGCTGGGTGGTGTTTGTTCCAGTATCCAGAAAAGTCTAAGCTAAACTCAGGAGGACCTACGGGGACAGAGCTCAGCCTTCTGAGGAGCCCCAGTCCCGGGAAAACCTCTCTGACTCTGGTGCGGCCGCCGGGGTGGAGCCGCTTCCTGAGTTCTCTCTCTAAGCGGCAAGCTTGGGGGGCACTTGCCTGTCCCTGGCTTCCTCACCTGTATGAAGGTGACAGCGTGCAGCCTCTGACCCTGTGTGGCTGTGGAATCACAGAAGATAGTTGAGGGCCAATTCCACAGTTCCCCTTCCCTCCCCTGCCCCTTCCTAAGGATACTGCCTGGGCTGGCTGTGTTCAACTGGGGTCCATGGCCGGCCGTGTAACCTCCCAGCAAGAGATGCCACTGACATTGAGCCGGGGTTCCTGTCAGCTCGCTGCGGAGTTTGTCACGGGGGTCAGGAGAGAGGAGGGGGTAGGAGCACTCCCGCCCCGCCCAGTCAGGGGCCTGAGACTGGAGTAGCTCCGCATCCGTGTCCGTGTCCGAGGGGAGGGAGCTGGAGAAAGGCTGGGAGGGGCCGGACACAGGGCCCTGTGTGCTGGGGGAGGCGGTGGCTCAAGCATCCCTTGCGGATCCCACGTGTGCCCATGTTGTTCTCGGCTTTGGGACCCAGCAGTAAACACGGCACCCACAGACCTTCATGGGGTGGAGATTCTGGCAGGGATCGGACACAGGGACCCTCAGTGGTGGGACGCACATGCCGGAGCAGAGGCCAGTGGGTGGGCCGAGAGTGGGTCGTGTCTGTGCTGGGAGACGCGTGACCTGTGCTCTGCCCGATTTTACATAAAGAGCCATCACTGCCTGCTTTGCGAGCCCCACGTGCTGGGCTGACGTGGGAAGACACGTCCACACAGGTAAAAAGTGAGGGCCCCGGGGCGCCTGGGTGGCTCAATGGGTTAAGCATCTAACTCGATTTCAGTTCAGGTTGTGATCTTAACGATTTGTGAGTTTCAGCCGCATGTCAGGCTCTGTGCTGCTAAGTGTGGAGCCTGCCTAGGCTTCTCTCTCTCCCTGTCTCTGCCCCTCCCCTGCCCGTGCTCTTGCTCTCTTTCTACACATGCACGCACGCACGCACGCACGCACGCAGAAAGGAGGCGGCTTTCTGATAGTGCCCTGTCAGGGCAGAGCCTGCTTGGCGTCCTCTCTCCCCGCCTGCCCATACCCTCCTCGTCCACCTGCATTCTCAAACTTGATAAAAAAAAAAAGGGGGGGGGGTCCCTTCCCTGGCCCTCCCTCTCCCGGCCTGGGAACTGCCGAGCAGGCGGAGGGCCAGGCGCTGGGAAGGCCAGGGCGGGAGCAAACACAGCGCCGTCCCCTCAGCGTGGACGCGCTGGGCGGGGCTCCAGGGACAGCTGGAGGGACCAGGACGGCCAGGCACCCGCCCGCCAGCAGCCGTCTTCCTTGCCTTGTGCTCCTCCATCACGCGGCCCCAGCAACACGCGCTGACCGGAGACAGCATCAGCCTTGGGGGCTTGTGGCCCGGTGGCATCAGGTTATGGGGGAGGGTCCTCACACAGAAGGGACGCACTGGGGCTGGGGGGGACTCGGGCCTCCTGCTGTGGGGCAGCCCCTTCTTGGGTGGCGGTGGCTGCTGCCGTTTCCGCTTACGGGGGCTCCCCCCAGGAGTCCTCCGGCCCTGTGCTGCCCTAGTGGGCAACGGTCTCCCCCTCAGGCTGGGGGCCCTGGGAGGGCCAGGGCGGGGATCACAGCATCAGCTGCTGCGTGGCGCAACCCCACCGACGGGCTTGGTGATGACCGTGTCAGGGGACCTACCCTCTCTGAGCACCGGGAGCACAGGAGGGGGCCTGGAGCTTCCCACACTCTCCGGACCCCAGGAAACTAGTGGGGAGGTGGCTCTGGGCAGGACTTCAGCCTTGGACTTGTTCAAGCCCTGGATCCCCCCCCCCCGCCCCCAGGATCCAGGGCTCCCAGGCCTGACCCTCGTGACCCTTTGGAGTCTGGCTGCTGCAGCCCTCGCCGGGGAGGAGTCGCGGGCCCTGCTCACCACAGGCCAGGCCGTGCCCCCTCACCATCGCCCTCAGGTCGTTGGCCCCATGGGCCGGCACACCTGGGTTCAAGCCCCTTCAATGCCTTGCTGGCTGGTTGGGGATGGGGTCTTTGGCCTACCCTGGGCCTGTTTTTCTGTTTTGTGACCGGCATGCAGGTAGCTTAGTGTGAGGGAGGTGGTAAGTGCACGCTTCGCCGCTCCTGTGGATGCCTGGGCTGGGGAAGCGAGTTTAGGGGTTTTGGCCAACAACTCCCACTTCAAAGCAGATTTAATCACTTGCTCATAGAACCTTCTCACCGTCCTCCCGAACTACGGCAGTACCTGAGCTCTCCTCCCCAGCCTGGCCACCCAGCCTGACCTTCCAGATCTTTGAGTCAAATCCTTCCGGGACCTGTAGCTTTCAGTCTGTGTACACTGTGACGACACCCGCCCCCCCCCCGCCCCGCCCCGAGCCTGTTCTTTATCTGATTACATGTCCTGTGGGGACATCAATGAGCTCCAGATCCTCGATGCAACCCCTCAGACCAGCCTACGCTTGGGCTGTGTCCTCTCATGAACACCTGTGGCCCCCAAAGGCCCATCACATGGCCCTGGCCCAGGAGGGCCCCTTGGCTGAGCTCCCCTGGGGGTCCAGACTGGACGTGCCGCCCTGGGGTCTCCAGGAAGGGTCAGCTTGACCAGAAGGTCTCCTGCTGTCTGAGCTCATGTGGCACCAAGCCTCCAAGCCCCCGAATACGTTGGGGGACCAGGCAAGGCCCAGGGCACCCCCAGCCCGCCCTCAGGCCCCACGGAGGAAGAAACTGGCCTCTGTGGGTACAGACAGCTTTAATTCAGTGAGACCGTCTTGGCCTTGCCCTCTAGTATCCGGGGCACCACTGCTCTGCCCGGGGAGTCTTCCTCAAGGGGAAGGAAACAGGTCGCTGGGCGAGAACACGCCTGGGTGTGCGCATGAAGCATCTCCCTGGCAGCTCACATTTGCAGCCACGGTACCGCCGGGTGGTGGACAGAAAGAGACCCACGTCTGTGCCACGGGGGCGGGGCTGGGCACGGAAAGCAGAGCTCCAGTATTTATTATCATACATATATATATATTTCATGTGTATACACAGATAGTTTTCTCTCTTGGAAGTATTAAAAAATTGATCAACCTTCAATCTATAAAAAATACCTACTCTACATGATAGAAAAATCTCTCCTCCAAGTTTACACTGATTTACACCCAAGGCTTTCCCCAAAATGTACAATACGAGGCAACATCTTAAATCTTAGTGTAGAAGGTGGGCCACACGGATGGAGGGACGCAGGGCACCACACACACACGCACACGCACACACACCACGCGCACATACACGCCCTCACGTACGCACTTGCACACAGCAGTGGCCAGCCTGTGTGTGGGGTCTTGACCCACCCGGAGCACCTGGAGGCTCCCGGCCAGAGCGCAGGCGCAGAGTAGGGCGGGCCCAGCAGCCCCCACTGCGGTGCAGTGCCCGGTGCCAGTGGCACAGAGCCAGGCAACGGCTTCCTTAAAGGAGCCCACACGCTGCCGGGAGGGCCTTGCTCTCTGCTCTTAAGCTGGGTACTCAGAGAAGCCGCAGCGCCCAGCCTCCTCCAGAACGCAGCTCCGGGACGGTGGCCACTTTAACGACTTCAAACTCCCAGAGGAAACGTGGCGGCAGACATTTGGATTCTGGCCTGGGGAAGGGGGACTTCACCCAGGGCAGCCGAGACCTGCCCAGGGAGGGGAGGACGCCAGGAGGCCGGGGGCCACACCCACGGGGAGGCAGCGTCTCAGCACGATGCTGCCCGCGCCTGGAGTCACAGGGCCACGAGACCCATCCTGCGCACAGAGCATGCTCCACGTGCTGGGACTCTCAAGCCCTGAGCTTGGGGTGGAGGCTCGGCCTCAGCCCCGTCACCGCGGCAAGGGTCTGGGCTGTGGGGACAGCTGCGTGGCCGGCTGCGGAGCCCCCGGGTCTGAAGCCGGACTGCGGTGCTCTCACTGGGTGGGTGACCGGGCCGAGCAGCTCCAGCGACACGGTCCCGGGAGAGGCGGGGTCCTGCAGCTCCCAGCCCGAACCAGACGCGCACCGCCCTGCCCGGCTGTCCTGCCCACCGCATCACGCCTGGCGCGAGGGTCCAGGTGAGGGCACCTGAGCAGACGCACATGGCAGCGTCCCGGTGGGGACGTGTCCTTCCTTTCGTCCCTGACAGGTAGGGCAGCAGAGAGGCCTGCCACGTGGGAGGGAGCTCACGGAGGGGTCCGCCCGAGCCGTGCTCCCCACACCTCTGCAGAGGGCGGGCCCACGCCACCCCCCCCCCCCCCGCGTGGGCTCTGGGCCCCGGCGGCCTGCTCTTCTTCCCTCTGTGCCCAGCCCGGCTGCTGGCCTCGGCCGCGTGCGCGCCGCGGCCGTCTCCTGGGTGCGGGTGGGGTCCCGGGCACACCGGGCTGGGCCTTCCCGCCTCTACTTGACCTCCAGGATGGATGGGTTGGTCTCCATGATGGCCACGATGATGCGGTCAATGTAGTCCTGCAGGCGGAAGTTTATCTCCTCCTGCTTCTGAATGGCGTCCATGAGCTGCGGGAGGAGCAGCGGTCAGGGCTGCGGTGGGGCACAGCCTGGGGCACGTCCCAGCGGCCGGGCTGGGTGAGCCTTACCTCGTCTCGGGACACGGAGCTGATCTCTGCAGCCAGAGACTCCGAGAAGGAGGTGGAGAAGAGGTTCCTGGCGCCCTGGATGCTCAGGTTGATGATCTGCCCGTTGAGCTCATCGTTCTGCTCCTTCAGGGCGCGGTTGTCCTGCACGGGGGACAGGACGGCGTCACGGCCGGGGCGGGGCCCCGCTGGGGCGGCGCGCACGGGGCGGCTGGGGCGGCCCCCCGCGCGCACCTGCTTCAGCCTGCGGACCTCCTGCTCCAGCTCGCTCTCGCGGGCGCGGCTGTTGTACTCCTGCAGGCCCGCGCTGCTGCCCCGGCCCCGCCTCTGCTCGGCCTCCAGCTTGAAGAGCTGGAGGTGCTCCAGCTGCCTGCGCAGGTCCTCGATCAACTGCGGGCAAGCACAGGGTGAGCGGGCCTCCAGGCGGCCGGGCCGGCCCGCGCCAGCACCGCCCGCAGCCTCAGAGCCTCTGGGTCGGTCCGAGCGCCGCTCCCAAGTGGGATGACAAGGCCACACTCCCCGAGCACCACCACGGGGCCCGGCGCCGCGCAGCGACCAGCTGCAGGTGTCGGGACGCGGGGGGCATGGCCGCGGGCCCTGGAGACGTGGGCGCCGGCCCTACTGGGCGCCAGGCTCACCTCCTGAGTGGCCTCCTTGTCCCTCTGGAACTGGTGCCTCTCGTGACTCAGCCTGTCCCCCAGCTTCCTCCTGTTCTCCTGCTCATCACTGAGCCGCAGGGACAGCTCTTCAATCTCGTCCAGCAACTTCTGCTTCTCCTGGGGGCGTGAGGCACTCCCTGCACACGTGCCCGCTGCCGCTGCCCCGTTCACACCGCTCCCCCGAGTTGCCCGTGTCCCTCGGGCTCAGCCCACAACAGCCGCGTCTAAGCCATCCCATCGCCTGGGCGCGGTGCTCCTGGGGCCGTGCTCACCCTGAGCGCCACGCGTGCGGGTGGGGCTGGGGTTCGCGTGGCACAGGGTGTCTCACAGGCCACGGAGACTGTTCCTCAGGGGACGCAGGGCAGGAAGCATCCATGCAAGAGCAGGATCTGACCCACGGCTGCCCAGTGGGAAGTGCTCACAGGAGCCAGATGTTCTCAGGGTTCAGAGCTTCCCAGGGGACAGGTGGCGGGAAGGGAAGGAGGGAGGAGGGGCCTCTGAGTGAACAGCTGCAGACAGGGCGCGTGGTCCCGCTGGAGTCAGCCCCCGGGACGTCGTCCCTGCATTCAGGCCACAGGTTAATCTAAACTGAACCTTTGGATCCAAGGATCCGTGGGGAAGCTGGGAAGCCAGGCAGGGACCAAAGTGTCCTCGTCCTTACCACCAGGGGCCAGTGGGCCCAGGGTCGTCAGCTGACGCCATGGGGCAGCACAGCTTCCTGGACTGTGGAGCACCCCGAGGCCGGCTGTGTGGCTGCCCCGCTTCAGAAGCCTCACGAGGTGCCCGGCTGACCTCACGCCCACGTACGATGGCACTGGGCCCCACCGACCGCTCACCTCCTCTAGGCGCTCGATGTTGGCCTTCAGACACGGCGTGCAGGACCTCAGCTCCCCGTTCTCCTCATCTAGCTGCTGCAGCCTGGGACACGAGAACAAAGCTGGGGCCTTGTACCCAGAAAACGCGCCTCCTTGGGGCAAGGGACACCCAGTGTATCGGCAGTCCGGCCAGGAGCAGCCCAGGGATCTACAGAGGCCTCCCTAGATGCCCCAGCCCTTGTGCACCACTCCAGGGCTCTGAGCCCAGACTTTTCCTTACGCCGGGATGGTTATTAAATACACCGGGGGGGGGGGGCGCCTTGGTGGCTCAGCCGGTTGAACGCCTGACTTTCACTCAGGTCATGACCTCATGGTTTGTGGGTTCGAGCTCCATGTTGGGCTCTGTGCTGACTCTGTGTCTCCCTCTCTTTCTCTCTGCCTCTCCCCAATTCATCCTCTCTCTCTCTCCAATAATAAATGTTAAATTTAAAAAGAAAGAAAGAAAATATACACTTGGGGTTGAGAATACTTTGGGGTTTAGAGAAAAGCTGTAGACGTGGCGCAGAGTTGCTGCGGGCCTGGCCCATCACACGGTGCCTGTGCCACAGCCACGTGGGGTGCACTAGTCCCCAAACCAGAGACTTCATCTCTTCTCCCGCCAGCGCCCCCCAGTCCCGGGGCCCCTCCCTGGCCACACGGCACACGCCGCCTCGTCTGCGCCCCCTGGGGTCTGCGGCAGTCTCCCGGACTTTCCAGGCTTTTCATGACCTTGACAGCTTTGAGCAGCTCTGGTCACGTATTTGGCAGTGTCCCTCACACTGGGTTTACCTGGTTCTCGTGAGGAGACGGGTCCCGGAGGGGAGGGGCCCTTCGCGGCACCAGATCGGGGGCCTGAGTCTACACACGACTCAGCGCAGGGGATGCCGACCCGGATCACCCGGTGAAGGTGTGTTTCCAGGTGCGTCCTGTGTCGGGTGCATTCTCCCCGCCCCTTCCCTGTCCTCTGGAAGCCCGTCTCTGGGCCCGGCTGACCCCAGAGCAGCACCCCACTGCGTCTGCATGCCAGGGAGTCTCACGTCCAGGTGGCTGGTGTGGCCTGAGCGCAGCCCTCCCTGCACCCCTACTCCTGAAAACACGCAGGAGCTCTTCTCCAATCCAGTCCAGGGACCCCAGCGTTAGGAGCTGGGGAGGGGCTCGAGCTGCAGCGCCTGGAGTCTTCTCCCAAGCAGTTACAACCGCTGTGTCCCACATTCGCAAAGTGGCTCTGGCTCAGCTGGGGAATGAGCTAAGAAACGCTCTCTCCCTCTCTGACCCTGGGGAGGGGCTCTGGGGAGCCCTCGGATGGCCCCTTCAACCGTCTCTCTGCTGATGGACACATGGGCTCTCTCTCCTCAGCACTGCAGGAACCCCGCTCGCAGGGCGGGCTGCACGCGGCGGCTGCTGCCCCTCCCGAGCCCTGACGGGCTGTCTCGTGCAGGGCGTGCGAACTCACGCCGTTTCCCCCACCTTTCCTGGCGCCTCACAGGTACTACCTCCAGAGCAGCATTAAGGTTCTCTGTCAAGTTGTCTGCAAGAGGCCCGGTGCTCTGACTGGGACAACCCGGACTAGAGACAGACTCAGAAGGACGTGCGCGTAGGGTCAGTCTTTTAACTGTGACGCCGAGCAGTTTGACAGCTCTCCTCACGGGGGTTTGCCCCTCCTCTAACGTCAGCGGGAGCCCCGACGCCGAGAGCGGCCGCGGCGGCCGCGCGCCCCACCTGGCCTGCAGGCTCTCCACCTCGAGGCTGCGCTCCCGCTCCATCTTGCACACGAGCTCCCGGTGCCTCCGTGCCTCCTGCAGCGCCGTCTCACAGGCTCTCAGCTCCTGCTCCTTGAGCTGCTCCTCCAGGGCGTTGGCTCTGCGAAGGTGGAGGGAGCGAGCGGTGGCAGAGACAGAGAGACGCCCCACCCACAGCTCTGGTCAAGGATGGTTCTGAGGCAGCGGCTGTTACCCTCCCCCCGCGCCCCCCTCGGCCTCCCACGCCTGCACCTGGGGCCTCAAAATGGTGGCAAGGCTGTGACCGCAGGGACGGTCTACATCGCTCTCAGGCGGCTCACTCAGCGTGTGGCCAGGAGACCAGCAGGTGCCCGTCCCCAGGAGCACCTTGCACTGACACTGCAGGCTGGGCACCCAGGGCACCCAGGGCACCCAGGGCAGGGGCACGGGCGGGTGTTAGCAGTGACATGACAAGGAGACGTGCACCGGGGGCCTGTCCCGGCGCCTTCCCAGACCACCACGCCTACCTGCCAGGAGACCAGCCCAAAGAGAGAGGCCCAGGCTCCGCCTCTGGAGCCCACACCCCAAGCTGTCCATGCACACATGGCTTCTCAACCTCCTTTGGGTGCCTCACACCTAGGAGTGCACCGAGAGCCAAAGGCCACCAGACACCAGGGAAAGGTGTTGATGCAAAGTGGCTAAAGCAAATCGAGAAAAAGGACCTCTTGCAGGAGAAGGCCCTGTAATCCACACCTCAGAGCGAAAGTACCACTTCCAGGAAACAGAAACAGAATGCCGGAAGGCAATTTAGAAAGTGATTCTTAGAACCACGAGTAGAACAAATTTTAAATTCAACAGGACAGCTGAAGGAGAAAACCAAGTATGCTGTAATTTAAAAACAGAGAAACGACAGAATGGAAAAGTAAAGAACAGGAGAAAACCCAGAAGGTCTAACGTTTGATTAACAGGAGTTCGGACACAGAAGAAAATGAAAAAACTGAGAAGAGAAATAATTCTAGAAACCTTCCCGAAGCTGAGGGACAGCTTCCAGATTTAAAGGGGAGGAACCCCGTGCTGGCACAGGCAACGCGACCCTCCTGGGATCTGGGCCGAGGACTCAGACCCCATAGAGGGCAGGGAGAACAGCAGCGCCTGGCTTGCGGTCACAGTGCGGTCAGAAGGCCTGGAGCCTGCCTGCCAGGCCCCGGGGTCCCCTGCTTCTGAACAACCCCAGACACAGCCACGCTGTTGGCGGACGGGCGCACTGCGGTCACACGGGGCCTCACAGAACCTGCTCCTCCCCACCCTCCCCAGGCCCGGCTGGTCATCTGGGGAGAGTGACCCAGGAAGTAAGAAGCCGAGGGCTGGAACCCGCATGGGATCTCTGTGACGGCGGGGGAGGGGCGGCGGACGTAAGCTTCACCCACAGGGTTGGACGTGGCCAGCCGCGGGGCACGGCACATGGACTTTCCACTCCCTGTGTGGGTAACTGGGAAGTGCCGTCGGATGAGATACAGCCTCACCGGTCACCTTGAGAAATGGGGGTGGTGGCCCATCCACGCCCCCTGCACAGAGTGAGGAGGGAGAACTCGGCACAGCGCTGGAAGCAAGCCCCTCCACGGGCGTGCCGACCCCGCCCAGCTCTGCGGCAAGGCCACGGGCAGACCCTCCCGTGAGAGCTGGAGAGCGCGCGGCTGCCCAGGCCAGGCTCTCAACTACACAGGGAACCTGTTTCAACTGCTAAAGTGACATACGGGGCACGTCTGCAGTAACAGGACTCATTCAGATCCTCATCCAAAGAGCAGACCGGCCACCCGACACGGAAGGACGGGTCGGGAAGGTCGATGCCGATCCGGATGAACACATCACAGCGGGAGCTGAGCGTCCCCTGGAGACACGTGAGTGCGCGTGGGCCGGCGTCCTGCCGTCGGGAGCACTGGCAAACCACCTGCCCAGGTGAGCCTGAGGTCACAGAACGTGTGGCAGAGCCAGGCTCAGGGCCACGGAGCCCGCTGAGGACAGGGCCTCCCCCGTCCCGCCCCCAAAATGCTGTCTGTGTCCCGTGACCCCAACTGCACGCAGGCACGGCCCAGGGAGCTGACACCACGCACTCCCTTAGGCTGGGTGTGAGGCTACGTGGCAGGGCTGGTTGCAGAATGCAGAGCCACCAACGGCGGGGGAGGTCGGCGTGGACGCCCAACGGCCACTGTGTGTCCTCTCGGTGGCTCCCTCTCTCCTCTCACCCCTGCCGTTAAGTGCCTGCGAGAACCCGCCTGCTCCCAGGGTGGGCCCGGCTCCCCAGTGCAGGCTCTGGAGGCCCTCCCCTTCACGGCCCCCACTGGCGGCCTCTGACAATGGCCTGTGCCTCAGCGTCCCGGCCCGTGAGCTGGACAGCAGGCGGCCTCTGCCTCACAGGACACGGGAACGGGGACAACGCGGGTGCAATCAGTGCAGCAACAGTTGCAGAGCAGCAAGCCTGTCTCCAGGCGCATCCAGGCCAGGCCAGGCTCTCAGAAACAGGGACACACACTGGGGACCCTGCCAGAGAGTGCTGGTGAGCCCCTCCTCAGGTGACCCCCACCAGTCTCCACGTGGGTGCCGGCCCGCCATGCTCCTGGGAGGTGCCGCGGTGCCTCCCCCTGCTCCTTCCCCGGGGACGGGGGCTGGACGCATGGCAGGCGGACAGCGCTAAGTGGCAAAGACGCGAGGGAGGCCGCCGGCAACGTCCCCCGAGCTGGCATCCGGCAGCTGGTGGAGGGACACTTCCAGGGGTGAGCCGCACGGTGGCGGCAGCCACGACCCTGCCGGGGGAGGTGCGTGGTGCCGCGGGCGCCCGCCTCACCGGTGCACCAGCTGGAGGTTCTCCTGCCGCAGCCGGCTGTGCTGCTCCCCGCTGGCGGCCGTGTCCTTCTCCAGCTCCGACACCCTCTTCTCCAGGAAGACAACCTTGGGGGTGACACAGGGGCTTCAGAATCTGGAGGTGGCGTCTCCGGGGCCACCCAGCTTGCGGAGGATGTGAGCAGGGACACGCTCACCTCCTCCTGAGCCGGCCCTCCAGAAACTCGGGGTCGCTTCCACAGCGAGGCCGTCCTGCCCTAAGGAACCCCCCACGCGGCCTCCCTGGGAACTCCGGTCCCACACGCTGTCTGGCTCTGCGGTCACCGCCCTGAAACCTCGAGCGCCCCCAGATCCTGCCTCCAGGAGCCAGCTGAACGGACTCCCTGCACGTCGGTGGAGCCAGATGGGCCCACAGACAAATACGGGTGACACTGACCTCTCCACGCACGACGGGAAATGCTCCTCCCACCGCACGGTCACTGGGGCCTCCCATGCGGCTGACACTCCCCCCACTCCCCACCCCATCAGGGCCTGCGCCCCAAGGCCGCAGCACCCGTGTGTCCTGAAACCCGGCTGTCTACCTGCGGTGGCCCAGGGCCTACCTTGTCAGCAATGTCCTCTTCCATGCCCTCCACGGGGTCTGGGGCAGGGTCCTGGAGGGCCGCCACGGTCAGGGCCCCTGACTGGTGCAGGTACCTGTGGAGAAGGAACAACAGCCCGGTCCAGAAAAGGTCCTTCAGCAGAGCATGGAGAGGAAAGGCCACGAGTTCTAGAAACATGAGCATGTGTCAGGCTGAACACCACAACCCAGCCAGGCCCCCACCAAGGGGGTCCCAGCAGGACACAGCCACCCAAGGGCCACAGAATGTCTCTGCTGCTCTTTGGAACCTGACCCCCCCCCCCCCCCCCCCCCCCCCCCCCCCCCCCCCCCCCCCGGGCTCCTTCCTGGGAAGCCAATGGACGAGGGTACTTTGTCCTCGGGTCGTAAAACACGACTTCGCTCCTCTCTATGACGTGGACTAATCTCTTCTGCCACAGGCCCATGAAACATTAATTCAGGGTCACACCTCTTGCGCGCAGCGTCACCTGTGCACACTCTTGCTGCCTGCTTTCCAAACACACTCCTCGTGGCAGTCACAGTGAGAGACCAGGGGTCTCTGTCGGGGTCGCGCCAGGGCCTTGCCTGGAGTTTCTCCTGGGCTTGAGCTTGGAAGGTGCACATACACAAGTGTCCCCGTGGCAGCAGCCCTAAGGCCCTGGCACCAGTGGCTGCCATGCGCTGTGGGCCACGTCAGGTGCTGTACGGCCCCAAGACTCAGGTGGACCTGCGAAACCCCCCTCCATACCCTCAGAGCCCCTTCCTTGTCCCCAGCCACTGGCCCCAGCAGGTGCTCAGCAAACATCTGTCCACGGTACCCTAGCGACAGTCTCGTTGGCTAGGGTGACTCTGTGTCAGCTGAATTTACCTGCACCTAAAACTCTCAGAGCACCTGCCCAGAGCGCCAGCAGCAAGTCTACCCGTGCCGACCCAGGCTCCACACTCAGCAGCCTGGTGCTCAGAGCTGTGTGGCTTTGAGAAAGCCACTCATCGCTCTGAGCCTTACTCTCATCTAAAATGGGGATCACGAGCTATTACGAGGTGTAACAGAGGTTACGTAAATAAACAGCTCCTGGTAAGGACATGACACAGGATAAGAATTCAATAAAACACTCTTAAAAATCACATTGAAGATTTCTACATTATCAAACACACGAAGCTCTATTTCCTTTTTAGTACTGAGTGAGCTTATGCATCCCTGAAATTGTTTTCCGGAGACGCCCTAAGGGGAACAAGAAAGGAGGACATCCTGACCCCTGGGGGTCACAAGTCCACTAGCTGTGTCCTGGGAGGGGCACTAAGCGCCTGGCTCTGGATCTAGCGTGATTCCCTGCAGGGCACTGAACCCAAAGGGTCACCCTGTCTTTGTCTGACTGCGGCATTTAAATAGCTCTCCATGACTCCAGCCCCAACATGGGCTCCTGACACGCGGCCTCACTGTGTGGCCACTGTAGGCCTTGTTTATCTAAATCCACCCCCACGCAGGAGAGCCACCGGGAGAGGGGCTGCGGGGGATGCCTGATGCACCCCAAGGGTGTCTTCTGCGCACGGGCACTGCCCCCTGTCCTCAGGCTGATTCTGTGCTGGTGCCTCTGGGTCCTAATACGCACCGTGACCCCAGGGCCACTTTCGTCTGGGTTAGGCACACAGCCAGGTCGCCGAGGCCAGAGCTGGCGGTTCCAAACCCCACGGTCCAGCTACTGTGCCGCACACAGAGGCAGCACGAAGAGACACCACAAAGAGCGAGAGCATCGGCTACAGAGTTTCCTCAGAGCCCTAGTGGTAGTTGTAGGTGTAAAATGGCAGATGAAAATGGCATGTGTGTGTGTGGACCGTAGACATGCTCTGCTTGTGAACCCAAGCAGAAACACCTGCACACTAGACTTTTTCACACCAAACGGTATCTGTGAAGGAAAGATCAGATGCTCAGAGTGTGTTTCAAAGGAGGGGCCAGAAAGAGCCCAACAGCCGAGGCAGCGCCCCCAGGGACCCCAGGGCCCGTCCACGTCCTGGATGGGGGCGGCTGCGGGGAGAGCCTCCTGTCAGCACCTCTAGTCTGTCTGGGTGGAACACGGAGTAAGGGGAGGGGGCGGGGGGGGGGGAAGATGCCAAGCCAAACTTGTAACAAACGCGTGGTCTGGAATCAACATCATGTTCCTCGGAGTGTGGATGCCCCTCTCCAGGGGGGATGGTGAGGCCAAGTGCGAAGGGGGCTGATGACCTTCACCCCTGCTTCTGCTAAGCCCCTAAGGCAATAGAAAAACAGGAGGTTCACATGCCGAGGACAAGGAAGAGACTGGACCGTACCAGAGAAGAGGTGCCCACAGCAGAGAGGAGGAGGGCTGCAGCTGCCCGGGGAGGCTGGCAGCGAGCTCGTCACTCTGGAGAACGCGGGGAGGCCCGGCACCCGAGGCCACACAGGAGCGGCCTCAAACCACACCCTCAGCGAGGCTTCGGGAAGAGCCACACACACGGGCCCGGCACAGGCTCCCCTCCGGGAAACCAGCCGGCCCGAAGCCCGTCCGCACCACGCACGGGCCAGAGGCCACCTGCCAGCTGTGAGCAACCACAGCAGCACAGACAGCAGCACCCCTGGTTGTGAGGGAAGCTCACTAGAAAGACAGGCTGGACAAGGGCGTGGGGAAGAGATGCGGAGAAAACGCTGTGGCCACCACAGGAGGGACCAGGGCAGAGGCGCACAGGGCACAGGGATGAAGCGTGAGGGCCACAAACGGGAGGTTCCAGAGGGAGGACAGGGGACGGATGGTGCTATCAAGCAGCTTGAGAAAAGTCCGTGGGACTACGGGGTGGAAACCTCCAGATCAGAACAGTCCGTCTGTCACTGTACCCAGCATCATTAATGGGAAGGACTCACAAGACTTAACCATAAAGTTTCTGAACTTCAGGGATAGAGAAAACATCTGAAAAGTTTCCAGAGAGAAAGATGCAAAGAAAATAAGAAAGTCTCGGGGCCCTGGCAGCAGGCCTAGCACCGGAAGGTACTGAGTGGTGTCTGCCAAGCTCCTAGGGGAGGGGCTCCCGGCCCAGATGGGAGAAAAGTGTCCAGGCAGGTCTCAAAAGTCTATCTCCTGGACACCTCTTTTCTCAAGAAGCTACAAGATGATGTGCTGGACAAAGAAAACAATGTAGACAAAAGAAGGGAGACCGGTTCAGGGACCAGGATGAAGCACACACGGAGCGCAGACCAGGGCCGCGGGACTAGCGCCCACAGCCACGGTGCCCTTGCCACGGACATGGGCATGGGAGGGGCAGAGAAGGCAGGGGTGCGGCGAGGAGGTGAGGCAATTTGCTGTGCCACAGCCGCCACTGACTCCAGAAGGGGCAACGTGTCTGAGAAGGGGAATAAGTGGGTGTCCCAGGGCTTCCCGTGAGCACCTCGGGCGTCTGACAGGCCCGGGGAAAACCGGCGAGCCGGCCCCGGGGGCGCTGCTCACGCAGGAGGCCGACAGGGAGGCCCAAAGCTGGGAGGTGGGGAAACGGCCACAAGAGTGTGTTCTTCAGAAACTCGGCATTAGGCTCGCCCCCTCCACCTTCTTCTTCACCTCGGAGTCACCTTGGAGAGCCAGCGTGGGTGCGAAGGGAGAGCATCTGAAGGAGGCCCACCCAGACCTGGGCTCTGCCCTGACCCTCGTGGACGACACCATGGGCCACTGTACAGCAGACACGGCACGTGGAGATGCGCCGGCCCCTCGTGGACATTACTGCGAAGACTTGGTAAGATGGCTGCCGTGCCGCAAGCTTTCAGCGCAAGCCAGGGTCTGATCAGGGTGGTGGCCATCGGTGTCACAACCCATCCCCGAGAATTCTGAGAGTCCCAAACCACGAGAAGTGACTTCCAAAAGTTTTAAAAAATACGTTGGACAACACTATTTTCTAAACAGGTTTTTAAAGAGCTATGATTAGGGGCGCCTGGGTGGCTCAGTTGGTTAAGTGTCCGACTTCGGCTCAGGTCATGATCTCATGGTTCGTGGGTTCGAGCCCTACATCGGGCTCTGTACTAAAAGCCAGCTCAGAGCCTAGAGCCTGTTTCAGAGTCTGTGTCTCCCTCTCTCTCTGACCCTCCCCTGATCATGCTTCTCTCTCTCTCAGAAATAAATAAAACATTAAAAAAAATTTAAAGAGCTATGATAAGTTACACATTCCAGAACATCTTGTTAAATAACCAAGGGGCTCCTACCTTGCCACCTTCCTGCTGGAGAGCCGTTTCGCTGGACTGTGCAAAATCAAAATAAACAGGAAAATTGTGTCAGAGAACAGACAGGGAGGAATGGGAGGAAACAGGAAATTCAGGCAGAAGAGATATGGGGATGGAGGCATGTTCACAAGCACAAGGCACCCGCCTCCCAGGCCGGCACCGTATGCAGAAAGGCCTGTTCAGCGAAACGTTCATGGACACGGGAACAATCCCAGGGCCTGGCCAAGGCCTGGGCAGGTCACGCCGTGCCGCTCCCATGAAGGCCACTCCCACGGAGGTGCCAGACGGAGCCATGACCAGACCTCAGCTCCGAGGCCGAGCCCAGTGCCACATCCACCAGTGGGCTGCACTGGGTCCCAGCCACCAGCGAGTGCGACGTCCCAAATCCCTACCCTCCAATCGCTTGGCTGTCTGAGGCCCCCATGTGAGATGTGACACAAGCCTGTTTGTGACCAGGAAGTTCGGGCATGAGCTGTAACTCAGGCACCGAAACCTTACGCGCCTGCGCGGCCATCTGGAAGCCCTTCCCGCTGCCCTTTGGGCGGTCAATCTGGTCAATTACCCATCGACTGGCTGACAGAATCCTCTGCGGTGGCAGAAAAGGCCAAACTTACCTTCTCTCTCATTTCTGAAGTCTGAGTTTTATTTTCAAGTGTAAGTGCTAAGCTACCGGCCTCAGCCCATGAGAAGACACATGCCCTCTCGCCAGCACAAAGACAACCCCGGTCTCCACCACCAGGAGCCAGACCCACGGTGTCTCCCTCCAGCCTGCTCATCTCAGACACCCCTGCGATCCCCACACAGCTCGGCCAGAAAAACCTACGCCGTGTCAGTCACCGACTCACAGCCTCCCACCTCCCCACTGGTTCTGTGGAAAAAGACTGGGGCCTTTTTCCGTGTCTTCCTTTGCCATGTTCTGCCAGTAGAGGATGCTGGAGAGGGCCCTCGTGGGAGGGTCCCCATGAGTCCTCAGCTACTCTGCCATGGAGCGCCTCTGGTGTGAGCCAGAGGGCAGATTTCCATCAACTTCTAGAGGGTAAGTTTGCAGCAAATCCCGCTGGTGTGCCGTCAGGGAGACAGCCGCCTCCTGGCCCCCTCACAGCTGCTGTCGCTGCGTTCCCTGCAGCCAGTGCCTCACTGCCCCATCTCTCTGGGGCTGCTCACTCACTACACTCTCCTTGTTCTCACAACACACTCCTGTGTGTCCCCTCTCCTGGCAGGGCCCTGAATGACACCACAGATTTCACCCTAATATCTTGGAGACTCCCTGAGGCTAACAGGACAGGACAGGCTCAGTTTATTATTCAGGGGCTGCACTGCCAGTCCAGTTTTGACGTTTATAATTTGTAAACAGACCTTACTATTCTTAATTTCTTCTTAGTGTTCTTAATTTCTCTAAAATGAATTGTTTTCATAGAGGCTGCCAAGTGTCTGGAAACTGATCGCAGTGGGCACGTTCTGAGGTTCACTGGGTAGAAAATACAAACGACATCGAAGCTTCCCACCACACTTGGGACTAAATCACCTTTCATCAGCCACAAACCATGACCAAACATGTATTCTGAAGCAATTTCTCGGAAACCAACAAGCAAGACTTAGACCTCCTTAACTGCAGCGTTTGGGACAACCTTGCTGACAGCCGTGTCCTGATTACAGTAATGATTCCAATGGCACACGAACCCTCCTCGTACGGTCTTTCTCAGGGATGGCTCAGGCTGGACAGAAGGCCCCACTGAGCCACACCCCAGGCTCCCCACCTCCAGAGGGGACTCTTAACAGAGGCGACCCTGGCCGGCCTGCGGCAGGTTCTCACCATGGCAAAAGGTCACTTCTGCACCACAAGTCTCCAGAAACGAGAGAGGAGCCGTGCGTGCGTGCTCACTCTCAGGTACAGAGATGACATCTCATGCTCAGACCCACTCAGCAGGACAGCAGGTCTCCACGGGGGAAGGACAGGTGACCCTTCACCAGTCAGGTGGAGGGACCTTCCTGGAGCACAGGACACCTAGCTAACCAAGTACAAGAAGTGAAGACTGGGGGCGCCTGGGTGGCTTAGTCGGTTAAGTGTCCGACTTTCGCTTAGGTCATGATCTCGCGGTTCGTGGGTTCGAGCCCCACGTCGGGCTCTGTGNCCAGAAGTATCTCCTGCTGTTCCTTAGAGACCCGTGGTTCTCCAGATGCCCTTGAGCTCTAACTTTCAAGTTAGCTAAGTCTTGGAAGGCAGGCAAGAAAGAAGAAGAGCAGGGGCGCCTGGGTGGCTTAGTCGGTTAAGCGTCCGACTTTCGCTTAGGTCATGATCTCGCGGTTCGTGGGTTCGAGCCCCACGTCGGGCTCTGTGCTGCCTGCCAGCTCAGAGCCTGGAGCCTGTTTCAGTCTGACTCCCTCTCTCTCTGACTCTCCCCTGCTCACGCTGTCTCTCTCTCTCTCTCCTAGAAATAAATAAAAAAAACATTAAAAAAAAAAAAAAAAAAGAAGTGAAGACTGGTTCTCCCTACGACAGAGGCCCGGGGGTCTTTGGAACCCTCGGACGCCACACTTGCCCCTGGAAGTTCCCTGGAAGGCTGGGTTCTCATCGACACCGCCGGGACCTCCCCCCAGACTCCCTCTGAAGCTGCCGGCTGGCCACAAAGAGCGTACGACAAAGGGGTGTATCGGATACCAAATGTGCCACACGGCGCCGGAGGCAGGCCAGCGGCATAGCAGGGCTCTCGGCCACGGGCACCCACCGGGAAGGCTGAGGCCCCAAGGGGGGCAGGCTCCTCAAGCCAGGGGAGCAGTTTTTAGAAGACTGCTCTACACAGGCCGATGCGGTCAGGATGGCGTGCCCTTCTGCCACACTTCACATAACCCCTCCCCTGCCCAAGTCCCCTCTTTTTCAGGCAGCCACTCCAGATTGGTAACCAGGTTGGTACCCAGGGGCCCACACCACTGAGCAGCACACCCCGACACCCCGTCCCTTCCTGCCCAGTGTGACAGCTCTCTGCTGGTCTGGGGGCTGCTGTGGCAACGCACCCAAGTGCACCCCCTACCCCACCCCCCCGCCCAGGGCTTGCCCACACAACAAGCTCAATCAACAGTATGCTCCATGGACACGTCAATGTGAGCGAGCTACTCAGACTTGGTTTCTCGAACAGGAGCTCTGGAGCATGCCAAGTTGTGGGGGTCCAGTAGGCGCGGTCTCCTTCTGGAGCTCCAACCTGTGGAGGGCTGAGAGGGAGGCTAACGCTCTGGCACAAACCAGAACCGGGAGACGGGGAGGAGGAACAGACCAGGGAGGACCCAGGCCAGGGAGCAGCAGGCACAGGCTGGGGGCCTGGGAGCTTGTTTAAAAACAGGCGCCCTGGGTGCAGACATTACTTAAAACTAAAAATCTCAGGGGCCCGGGGTGGCTCAGTTGGTTGAGAATCTGGCTCTGTGCTGGCAGTGTGAAGCCTGCTTGGGATTCTCTCTCTCCCTCTTTCCTGCCTGAGTGCATGCACTTGCTTGCTCTTTCAAAATAAAGTAATAAGTATTTATTTATTTATTTATTTATTTTTAAATATTTTTATTTTATTTCTAGGATAGAGAGAGACAGCGTGAACAGGGGAGGGTCAGAGAGAGAGGGAGACACAGACTCTGAAACAGGCTCCAGGCTCTGAGCTGGCAGTCAGCACAGAGCCCGACGCGGGACTCAAACCCATGAACCACGAGATCATGACCTAAGCGAAAGTCGGACGCTTAACCGACTAAGCCACCCAGGCGCCCCGAGTAATAAGTATTTTTAAAAATATATTAAAAAAATAAAAAAATCTTTTAAAAAACAACATATAGAAAAAACCCCAATCACAAAAAGAAACCATTTCAAGGGAGAGTTCTCTGGATTTAGACACAATCCTGAAAGCTGTTTACAAATCTGTGTTTCTAAAGACCAAATCTCACTCTAAATTTCCCAAAGCTCTTTCACGTGACTCTCACTTAAAGAAATCTTTTAGTAAAATGAAGCATGTCTGTCTTTGCAGGTGCAGACCTCCTTCCCCACCCTGGATCCCCTTACTCAGGACACACAGGGCGAGAAAGGCATTTCCTCCCTGGGGAACAGCAGTGGCTCGGGCTGCGGCACATGCAAGGGGCGAGGAAGCAGAGGCTCAGCACATGCAGGGTTGGGGGACCCGGCTGCGGGAGCGGCGCTGGTGGCCAGACCCGCGGGCAGGAGCCGGGGGTCCCCGGAGTCTCCCTCCCGCTTGGACAACAAGCAAGGCCAGGCACCGGTTACCTATTCTTTTCAAGATCGTTCAGGCGAGCAGAAAGATCCTCAAGGCGGTTGATCTGTTTGTGGCATTGGCTACAGTAAAACTCAAAAGCCTCATCAGTGAGGATGCTGTGCAGCTTTGCAGCAAGCGGATCGGTGCTAGAGAGACGAGAAGCGTCAGTTCAGAAGAGAGCGAGGGCCCATCGGGTCATCTGTGACTCCCCAGAGGGGCTGGACGAAAACGAAAGCACGTTGTCACTACGGGAGATTGCGGCTCTTGCTTTTAGACTGCGGTGAGCCCACCTCCCTCAAATGTCACCTCGTGGGCTGGTGACACACTGGCTCGAGCAGTGAGGGGACCTGGCCACACTCCTGCTCCTTCCTGGTCAGGTGCTCAGAAACAGGTAGCCCATCGGCTTCACTGTAAAACAAAAACTCTTCTTTCACAAGAAGAAATAACCAGATACACTGCTTTCTCTTTTGTCAAAAACACCAGCATGAGAGCCAAGTGCGTGTCTCCAGGTGGAGTTCACCTCCCTGAATTGCAGCGGCAGCGACTCTCCTCCCTGCACTGAAGCCCCCCACCCCACCCCTCCGCCCCGGGTCAGAACTGCACACGGATGATGAGCACCGGTAAGTCTGTCATTTTTAAGGTCTTCATTAAAAACTCAAGATTCAGGGGAGACTGGGGGCCTCAGTTGGTTGAATGTATGACTCTTGATTTTGGCTCAGGTCGTATGCCACGGTCGTGACATTGAACGCTGAGCTCTGCGCTAAGCATGGAGCCTGCTTGGGATCATCTCTCCCTCTCTCTCCACCCCTGCCCTGTGCACGTACATGCACATGTGCTCTCTTTCTCAAAGATAAATTAATTAATTAAGTACAATAACTCAAGGTTCCATTTGCCTCCCTGTGATCTCATTGAAGTGGACTTTGAGAGCACTGGCAGGACACCCGCTGCAGGAAGATTAAAGTGGGAAGCCAGTGAGGTCCCTGACACATTAAGACCTCCTGGCTTCTGGAAGCCGGTCTGGAAGTCCCACAGGAAGACAGGCTGAAGGGAAACGTCAGTGGCAGCGCAGAGGTTCTGCCTGAGCCCGAGAAGAGTGGAGAGGCGGCTGACAGGCACACACAAAGCAGACAAGAAAGATTTCCCAACTATACACACAAGCATTTGGCAGCGTCCAGTCCTCGGCCTCTGCCTCAACACCACCATGAACACACATGTGGCAAGAAAGGCTGCAAAAAGCACGCGCACATTTCGCTCACGCCAACTCCCAGAGGCATGCCCCAGGAACCCTCTCCCAGGCCGTGGGTCCCCTGGGCCAGGGCGACAGTCCGGGCAGAAGGAGGGCCTCGCGGCTGCAGGCTCAGAGATACTCAGCTTCCGCTGTCGGCAAAGAGAGAGGGTGTAAAGAACCTGACGCTGGGGGTGTGGTGGCCGGCGTGGGGCAGCCGCCAAGTAGAGAGAGAGCCTCCCCTGCAGAGGCAGGCGCGTCCTCAGATGGGCTGGGTACCAGCAGAAGGCTCCCGGGTCCACAGGGCCTTTGCTTGGACACAAGCGAGGCCCTACGAGGAAGGCGAGCCAGAGAGGATCTGGCTCCATGAGCGAAGGTCTCACACGTTAGACCTAGCACTTCAGCTTATTCATTCAGAACTTTCCAGACAATTTGGGCCCATCTGATAATTATAAGGAAATGAATGGAAACAATCATTTGCGACATTAAAGCCTCCCGCAGAGGCTGATCCAAGGGAACGCGCTTGCAGCTGCAAGAGGAATAAGGTCTGATAATCGAACGTAGAACATGGTAACTGCACCGCATCCTATCCTTAAAATCACTGAGAGTGGAACGTAAGCGTTCTCTCTCTCACACACGTACACATGTTCTCTCACAGGTGCGCACACGGATACACACATGGTTCTCCAGTGTGTGTGCACATGGACACATGTGCGTGTTCTCTCACACATGTACACATAGGGACATACACACAAGGTCTCTCATGCATGTGTACATATGGACACACGCACGCGTTCTCCCACATGTATGCACAGACCCCACACATTTTCTCACACAGGCACACACATACATGCATACGTTCTCACACACGTGTGCACACGGATACATGTGTGCACGATGCTTTCTCACACGTGCACACACACATACAGTGCAGAAATGCATTACCTGGGGGTGAGGAAAGTGGGGTCTCTGCAGTCATGCTCCCCGTTGCAGAGGGTCTCCAGGGACAGCTCTGCCTCACTGCCCTCACCGTAGTCCTCAAATTGCTCCTCGCCACCTATCACCGTGACGACGGACTGGCTGTGCAGGTGGGGTCTGCAAAGGCATACAGAAGTGACACACTGTGACTAGTGGCCCCAGAACCAATGGTGTGATGGCACCTTGCAGCAGATATGTGCCACTAGCCACACGCTTGGGTTCAAATATCACAGTAGCCACGTTAGAAAAAAGTAAATGGGGGGCGCCTGGGGGGCTCAGTCGGTTGGGTGTCCAACTTCGGCTCAGGTCATGATCTCATGGTTCGTGGGTCTGAGCCCCGCGTCGGGCTCTGTGCTGGCAGCTCAGAGCCTGGAGCCTGTTTCAGATTCCGTATCTCCCTCTCTCTCTGACCCTCCCCTGCTCATGCTGTCTCTCTCTCTCCTAGAAATAAATAAA